TCATATTCAACATGTTGATGGTACTTATCATCATCATGGGCGTTTGTTTCGACTGAGGAGGAGAGTTTGAAAGTGGTGTTTGAATCCTGTCAAAAATATTTTCCAACATAGCTGTCTTCTCCGACATGTAAGTCCATGATAAAATTACCTCTGGTACGGTTGTTTCTTACCAGCATATGGAATAATTTCATATCTTTAGTTCTTATTTCCATAATACGATCTTTTTCTGCATTTTTTCTCCTTGCTTGCTCGAATATTACTTCACTTCGGAATTGTTTTTTCTAGTTTCTATCCTATTAATATAAATTCTATTATTAGGGAATTTTGGGATGCCAGCTGTAACCCACGTATTACCGGTACATTTTTTCTCATATCATTTAATGCAGTTTTTATCTCTGGGGACCAGACTATCAACTTAATTAAGTTTTGCACTGTATTGCACTGTATGGTGCCCTTTGGTTTGTACTTGCTTCTATCGTGACTTTACAGGTTTTCAAGATCGTTTCACCAATACTGTTTTCGTCTTCCTGTGTCAGATCTATCAATTCAGTCCTTTCATTTACAATTGCGCTGTACATTTCTATATCGACTTTATCCCACTCAATTCGCCTTTCCTTTAACAGTGTTTTTTCTTCTTCATTTTTGTCTTTCAATGAAAAAGTTACTACTGTCTTAATTGGGTAGTGATCAGATATATTACTCACTATGGCTGACAATACCTCCTTTATTGTACATTCTGGATAGCTGAAAGTCGATAACAAATAGTCCAATTCAGAGCATTCATCACCATTTTGGCCTAATGAAAGTTTTACTACACAGGGGCGGATCCAGGATTTTGGAAAGGGGGGGCGTAGTATTAAAGTTTGCCGAGCGGAGCGAGGCGAAAAAAATTTTGGACCTTTTTTTGCCTAAAAAAAATAAAATAAGTGTAAAATGCATTTTATAGTTAAAGTGTAGGGGGTAGATATTTTTGGTGCCGTATTCTCTCCATCAATTGTCTATTATGAAATGATTGGATGAATCCAAAGCTATGTACTAATTAATATATTTGATGTGGGATTTGTCAGTAAAAAATGGACATGGAAAATTCTCGTTTGTTGTATGGTTAGTTAGCATAACCTCACAGATTTCTTGTTGTAAACAAGATATACGGCTATTCAATGAAATTTTCAATACGACCGACACGAAGAAAGACAAACAAGCAATTTTCATCCAAATGTTTGGTTGAAATGTTTCACCTAACAAGGGAAGTGAGGGGTTCCAAATGAACTAAAGGCTACGAATGAGTCGGAAATGACAATGAAGTTGTGAATGACGGTCGACACATGGAGACATATAGGCCACACCCAGCAGGCAGGTTGCAGTCGGGCTTTGAAAAAAGTATTCAGTATATCAGTTCGACGAAACAGACATTCCGGTCAGATATGGGATTCACATGCAACCCCCAAAAAAAATTTCGCCCGTTTTTTATTCATCATGTTTATTTAATGCTAAATAATTCTGTTGAAAATATTTTTTTCTAATAGCAAAAGTGGACAAGATTATTGTTTTCAATCCAGATACGGCCAGAATTTTTGTTTAAGGCAAAAATCCGGGTCAGAATTTTTTCTCTAAAATATCTCAGACTGCCCCCTCAGATCAAATGGTCCGTACCTTAGACTTTAAATCTATATCTAGAGCTTACTGACTGGGGTCACTATTCAGCAATGTTATTAATGGGCTGGGGCGTGTGGGGTTAAACATGTTTTCGTAGGTAAATAATATTGCTGTGGAACTTTTTTTTCATTAGAGTGTAATAGAGTATTACTTTCTGTTGGGTTGGATTGTGAAATAGAAGTCAATACGTTCTTGCTCAATACTTTGTCGCTTTGAAGGCGTCATGCTTGTCATCCTCAGCCTAAGCAATGTGTTACTGTAATTTGAATTTCAAAATGACTGAGTGACGTTTTTTTCGACGAACTGGTCAACTCCACAGTAGAGAATCACATGACTTTGACATAATCAATAATATATTACAGTAAATACGAGCGAACAATATCTTTATAAGTAAAGAATTGTCGCATAAAAATTAAATACACGGGAAATGGCAAAGTTCACGAAGTCTAGTCTGATTAATCATTTTACAAAAAAAAAAAAGTGCAAGCAAAGGGGGGGCGTACGCCCTCTACGCCCCCCTCTGGATCCGCCACTGCTACAGTTGTTATAGTTAATTCCACATTCTTCTATGAAGTATTGTTTTTTCTCTTGTTCGATCTGTCTGCGTTGCCAAGATCTTCATTCAGAACACCTCCAATCATAATATGATGGCTATTTTTATATTTTTGAAATAGTAAAAAAAAAATGATCTATTGTTTCACAAAATTCTGTGACATGTTCTTAGTCTCCAGTTGATGGTAAATATACAGAGACTACCAATAACTTACCCTCAGCCGGAAAAAAACCCCAATATCATTGCAACATCCTACTATCTATACATGGTCACACTCTAGAACCTATCAAAAGCGCCAAATACCTAGGCTGCATTCACATCCGAACTGAGATGGAATGACCATGTTAATAACGTATGTAGCAAAGCCAATAGAACAATTGCCGACCGTGCGAGGGCTTTATAGCCAGTCAAGGTCGTTAATAACCCCAATCATCATAGAACAATCGGCTTCCTGAAACGAAATCATGAACATTGGATCTACTTCTGTAAAGGAAAATGCGTATAAAACACTTGTAAGACCTATAACAGATGATATGCCATATAAAACACTTGTAAGACCTATGACAGAATATGTCATATAAAACACTTGTAAGACCTATAACAGAATATGCCAGTCCAGTATGCGATCCATACTATAAAACAGAGATTGATCGACTGGAGGTGGTCCAGAGACGAGCAACAAGATATGTGATGAATATGATCACTCGTAAGCAAGATGCTCAATCACTTAGAATGGAGATCTTTGGAACAAAGGCGACTGAAAGATGCAAGACTCCCCATGCTCTTTAAAATTAAAAATGAGAAAATTGCAGTGACAAAGAAAGGTCATCAGATACCACCTAAACGACTGTCAAGAAACATGCATGACAGAAGCTTCCAAATTCCAGCATCATCAAGTGATTACCGGAACTATTCTTTCTTTCCATGAACCATCAGAGATTGGAACACTCTCTCTTCTGGGGTTGTATCAGCACCGTCAGTCGAGGCTTTCAAAGCTGAACTAGATTCAAATATTATGGGGAGGGGGAGGGGTCCGTATGTGCACCGAAGTCATAGCAAAATATTCAGTTTGTTGATTGTGGCCATTGTCCGGTAGAAGTAAAATAATTTCATTTATTACTGTTTGTTTATAACCTGCAGAGATTAAGTATTAAACCCACCAGGAAACCATCATTGGATTGACAATTTTGAACATCTAACAAAAATTTCGGTCATAGCTGTACACATCACTTTTAGCAACAGAAACACTATATTGGTTAGAAATTGCTAAATCTAACCTGTTAGCAATGTGCAAATACACTGAAATCAAAATCTTTAAAACCAATACTTCTACAACAAAACTTGATAGGTAACTTACATGATTCTTACAAAGAATGTTTTGGGTTAACTCCAGGTCATCTGTGGGTTGCTGTCTGTCATATTTATTTTCATTTATTGTTTTGTCATAAATCAGGCCGTTGGATTTTTAGTTTGAGTTGTTTCACATTTTTCACATCAGGGCCTTTTAAGGCTGGCTATATGGTATGGATTTTGCTCATTGTAGAAGGCTGTTTAGTGGGCCACAATTGCCTAAATCTGCTTCATTTGGATTCTGTTGGATAGCTGTCTCATTGGCAATCATACCACATTTCCTTACGTTTATATCAAAACTTGACTGAACATGGAAAATGAGGTCATGGTAACACTTTAATATAAGAAATTCATATAAAACTTTCATTTACCAACAGACAAAATACAGTGATCTCTGATTTATTGTAGGTGAGTAACTGACCCAGTCACAAAAACTGGATATTATCACCCTGCCCCCTAATCCACCGTTGTTCATTACAGTGGAGTTAACAACCATAATCAATGTTACTAGAACTAAAATAATTCGAAAAAGGGAATAAAAGGAAGCATTGTTTTGATGCCAATTACTTAAATTGGTTCACTTTCTAATTACCTCATAGTAGATGCATTCTGATCTATAAATAAAATCAGTATCTGCAGATATCCACTTTAAATCTAGTTTTATGAGAAGCATGTTAAAATTTTATGTTAAATAGTACAGTGTATTATACCAACAGTAATGACTGAACAAGCAATTATTCGTCACTTGTGATTTTTCACTATATATTTCATATAAAGCGATGTTTTTCCAAAAAAAACTACTGTGGGTTTATTTCTGGTCAGATTTTAATCAACTTGGTACCACTATAAGCAGAAATATAACAAGGCTTATTTGTTTATTGGTTATATTTTTGTTGTGGAGCGTTTTCATTTTCTGATAAAATAATCATAGTACTTTTTTGTGTTCAGAAATTTGCTAAATATTTTAACCAAATTAAATTGTAACAAATTATTATATGTGTTCATATCAAGAGAAAACAAAAAAAATTGATAACAAAACTTTGACCATATAAACAAATATGCTTTAGACAATTCTGTGTCTTTTAACATCTGATTTGTTAAAATCCAACAATACATGCATTTAAAATAAAATGTTTTCAAGGTGTTTTATATGAAATATATAGCAAAGAAAGGTAGGTATCAAATACTGTAGATCATGCACTGTAGTTGTCAGTCTGCTAATTGTACTGTACTGGTTTTATATACCATACAAACAGAATAGCAATGGGAAGTGTGTAAAGTTGGTTAAACAACTTCTTGTTTTGGAACCCATGTTCATACACTCTGTATTTTCCTATTTTTATCTTGTGTCTTCTTTTTGTTTGAGTTGAATAGTTGGACAAGGTAACCAGTTGTATATCATGCATAGCATTGCATCTTTTAGAGTAATTTAATAAAACTATACAATATATCATTTTATTAGTCATTTAAAAACAATGATTGAGAAATAAAATAAATGTATGTAAAAGCCATTAGATACTGCAAATTCTTTGTTTTTAAGGTTGAACAATTTTAATGGATAAACTGAGCAGGGAAATAATAGGAATGGTTGCTTTAGTCAGAATGAAAAGTAAAAACATGAACATACAAAATATAACTATCTATAAGAAGGCTCACAGAAACATTTTCTCAAACCAAAAGGTATTGTGAACTTAGCATGCAAAATAATTCCTGAAATTTGCATTCATTTAACATATAATTCATTAAAAAATCCTTCTAAATGGACATTTCTTCTTTGTTGGTGACATTTCTAATGGTGAGTGCCACAAATATGCTTTGTATCATCAATATCCTTCAAATTGTTTTAGCCTGATACAACTGTATACATTTGGGGCAGCCTAGTAGAGGATTCTTATTATTTTTATCATAGAACACTTGCACTATCATATTTCCATAATATCTGAATGAAAACCTAATTTAGCATATAATCTTAAATGTTTATATCAAAATAAACATGTGTAAAAAATTTCAAGTTGATATGACCACAACATCATGGTGATCTACATTAAACTTTAATCTTATAAAAGACAGACAGCTGCACTGTTTGGAAAACATAATGCTGCCCCCACTAATGAAGAGGTATTTTAGGGGGGTATAAAAAGAAGAGAAAATGAAAAATCAAAGTTGAAGGACTGATCACTTCATTAAAAAAAGAAAAGAAGGCAAAAGGACAAACAAGTATTCATAACATTTAAACATAAAACAAAATGAAGGAACTTGAACACAATCAAAACCAGCGGTGAACTTAGGTGCTAGAGAAGGGTATGTAAATCCTGTTCAAATAGTCACACCTGTCACGTTACTATCTTTAAATCTGATAACAAGCAATGAGGAACCATACAAAAAGGGTATAGTAGATATCTCTTTAGCAACAAGACATTCCTAAATTCATAAACTTTTGAATTTTTATAACCCTCGAATATTTCAAATAGTGAAAGATAAATTTTGTTCAGTTTTTCAGAACATAGGATAAACAAGATCATCCTCTTTAAAAGCAAAACCAACTCAAATGCATGTGAAATTTAACAAGTTCAATATATTTCTGCAAAATTGGATAGTTTGCCGTTACAACTGCAGAGGATATGCAGATCATTTCTCTCTGTTATAGTAGGCAAACAGAAGATATCAACAAAATAAAATGAATCCACAGTATCTAATTTTAAAATATACATGAGTATTCTCAATATTGTATACACTGCATGAGTAGGGAAACTAAACAAAAGGATGCTGTTACATTTTTGGGTACACAGCATATCAATAAATTCTAAATTAGGAGATTAAACATTCCACCTCCACTCAAATTATAGCTCATTATATAATTGTAATCCTCCTGAGTAAAAACAGAACAACAATCATGTACTGCTCTAAATTTCTCTAAATGATGAATTTATAACAGACTATCAAAAATTAATATTTATGACTAAAATCTCAGACTGACAAAGAGAGTATTAATATATAATATTCTTATTTCTAATCAAATACACAGTATAAATTTTTCAGTAAAACTGTTCTTTATGTACGTAAAAACAGTCTGTGGGTGCATATAACATTCTAGCAAGTAGATAATCAATTTAATCTCCTCTTAATATTTCATGAAGACAGTGCATTAAAATCTCATTTTCACATGATCAGTGATTGTTTAAGGCATTAAAATCATGCAAGACCATGTGACTGGTAAAAGAGATGTCTTTAAAAAAGTAGTATTATTACTTTGGTAAACTTCTGCTCTTTTCCTATAAGTTGATTTGAGTATAGTATTGTCAACATCTGGCCAAAATTTATTTTATAATTTTGATGTCCAAAATTAAGGACATTCCTAGCTATGGCTGTCTGCAGCAATGTGATTCAAACACCATGACTCTTTAATTTATTCAGGCAACCAATGCAATATTACTTACAAACTAGAATGACAAATACATGTACATGTATTAAAAATATAAATTGCAATATTTTCACATATAAAAAAGCAATAAAAAGGAACAGTGGTTTAAATACAAATGCAATTTCAAAATAGCGTAAAGATTAAAATGATAATTAAAAAAAGATTTCTAAACCTCTGAGAATTTTCTGTATAAAAATTTTAATGAAAGCAAAAGAAAAAAATCAACTCACATGAGATACAAATGCATCATATATACAGCTTTTTCTTGTGCTTGATATAAATCTAATGATGTAGACCAAATTTCTTTGAGAAAATAACTTAAGGGGTAAAGTTATTTGCCCTTGGGTCTGACCAAATGGTAACTTTGAGTTCTGATAAATATAAAACATAAGACTTTAGGGCAAATATTCCTAAGGTCTATCAAGCCTCAAATCTTTTCAAATATCTGAAAATCAACTATTAAAATGAAAAGTATTGAATGTATAGAAAAATGTCTAACATACAAAATAAACTATACAAAGTTGTATAAAGTGACATTTTAAAAGATTGAAAGTAAAGTTTTCAATTTGTTACACAAATCTTACAAGTAAGTTATAAAATAAATTTACTCTGAGATATAGTGTCAAAATTTACAGATCACTGTACATTGATATGTACCCTGTCTACCAAAATGAATATGTAGGTTAACATGATTATTCACTATGATGAAAACTTGACATTTATTAGAGACATGCTCATTTTTCCTGTGTTTATTCTTCCATATGTCCTTACTGTATAATAAAGTGTTAACACAGACATATCTCTCCGCCTGTGTGACCTAATCATAAACTTGAAGAATTCTAGATGCCATTGCCTGAAACAGCAGGCATACTCTTGCATCTAGGACTTTTTGAGGGCAAGACAAACAAGATTTTGTTTTCAAGAAAATATAACTTGCATATAGCACTGTTTTGCAAACAATATTGTAATCCTGACAATAATTGAGAAAATACTTTTTATTGTTTGATTTTGCTTTCATGTAATCAAAGTTTGACCCATTTTTTTTTTTTGTGTTGATTGTGTAGAACTAATTTTCAATTCCTGACAAAAAAAGAAAAATAAACAATTCAGTATTTTTTTCATATAATTGAGTATATCCCAGTAAACGTTGATAGAAAAATGCATGCAATTAGAATCTCAAAACACCTAAATAAAGCAAAATACTATGATATACTATATGGCAGGCTTGCTTCACTGAAAACAGCAAAATATTGCACTATCTATAATAATATATGTTGAAATTTTTTTATCAATATTTAAACTAATGACTTGTAAATCAATCAAGGAAAATGTCTGCAGCAAAACTGCAGCAAAAATGCTGCAAAAATGTGTGATAACTCTACTCAGTGCATGTAATATCTGTCACTATATAAGAACTATGATGCCTCTCAATGCAAACAAATTTTCTAATTTCATTCTGGTATTTACTATAATTCATGCTGTACTAGTTAAAAGGCTTTGAGCATGGACAGAACATTATGTTTGTCCACATATATTTATCTTTATTAATTTGATATAGTTTACTATAATTTCACACAAAATTATGAAAAATATATGTCCAGTTAACAATAAGTGAAAAAGTTCAATGATTATGGTACTTTTCCAGTCAAATATCTTTCTAAACATATGTTAGTTTTTAATTTTTACAGCACTGGGTCGATACCTTTGCTGGTGGACTATCAGTCCCCAAGGGTATCATCAACTCAGTAGTAGGTACTTTGGTACTGACAAGACTTATAACAAACCTTTACAAAATTGTCCTTTTATAAATATTAAAATCATAAAGAAGCAAAGTGGACCTTAGATGGATTTGGCTATTTTGTTAGGTCCTTTTGATCAAATAGATCTTCAACGATTTTAGTTCTTACACATCCTTGGCTTAATATGGTGTTCTTGGTGAAGGTAAATTTAGAATAGCACTTTGGACACATGAAATTATAACGTGTTGTTTTAAATTTCAAAGGTACTTAAATCTACAACTTTATTTCTTCTGAACATATCTTTTTCATAAAAAATATAAATTTTCAATATTTTTTCATCTGTTATGTATTGACTCATTTAATCTATGTGGAAAGTTTTTTATGCATCATTTTAAAACCGAAGTGTGTGATTTTTTCAATATATAATGACAACATAAAAACTAAAACATATTTAAATTGTACATAATTTTCAACAATATGCAGTAAACAAGAATAAAATTAAATACACCTCTAAGTTAATATGGTAAGGCATGTCTGTGATAAATTGTACAAAAAATCCTTTGTATTACAGACATAGTACACAATCAGTTTACATTTTAGGAAACATCTGTAACTAGTTTAATAGACTTGCAATAAATGTCAAAATAAATCTACGAGGTATCTGATTTGTGAAATGTAAATTGAAAAAAAACAACCTCAGGAATGTATTCCATGAACATAGACAAAATCATATATATTAGAAATGACACTTTGCTGGCATATACCACATATATAAAACATTAAAATCAAATCCTCATTAGTAAGCTACAATGTATTTCTCAGTCCCAAATCATAATCTTTATTTTGTATCATACTGAAAGTTTTATTACCAGTAAAACTAGGCTATTTCTCAAGCCCCATCAGAATGGCGTTCATGACATACAAAGGAATTTGTGAAAGCACCTTAATTTGAAAGTAGATATAGGAAGATGTGGTATGAGTGCCAATGAGACAACTCTCCATCCAAGTAACAATTTATAAAAGTAAACCATTATAGGTCAAGGTACGGCCTTCAACACGGAGCATTTACTTCCCATTTTTTGACAAAATGAAAAAAGTAATTGGATTTCAAAGATAGAAATGTAACCTGTTACTAAGATCTATTTTCAAAAGCTGGTAGATTTGTGAAATGTATTTTTGATTGAGTAAATATCAATCAACAGTTTGTAACCTAACGAGTTAGATAAACATGCAAGTTTTACATTATTTCCTTCATTCAAATCTACAAGGGTTTAGCTACATTTGATAGGAAATATATAATATTCATAACAGTCCTCACAACATAACAAATCTAATATAACAAAACATAATGCCCAAAAAAGGTGAAAATATCTCAAAATTCAACTACTGAAAATTCATAAAATAATCTAATGTTTTTTTTAGCAATGAGAAAAATGAGACAGTATGATCATCACAGTAATTTACACTGAGCTTTCATTTTTTACCAGTAACTGTAGAATGTACTGTAATGGAATTGATGAACTTTACATGAATATCTTTTGTCAAAAGACATGCACACATTTATTACATCTTATCGCTATTTAGTCCAATCTGGGAAAAACAGTTACTTAGACAACTTCCTGTTGAGGTCAAGTGGAGCAAAAAAAAAGTTACTCAGCAATGAGCTGAGAGAGGAAAAAGTTTGGAAAATGGACATTTTAAAATTTTGATAGTTTAAGAAGCAATTTTTAATAGACAAATTAAAGTCATTGAAAATACTTTGTTTGATGTGTTTACGATGGTTTAAACATGTCTGTATATAAAGTTTTATGCACAATACATTGTTTAAACAAGGCCCCAGATAGCTTCAACTGGTTTGAAAAGTTGTGTAATTCTAGAACTTATCCTCATAGGAATAAATAGCGATAAGGTGTATTCTGAAGAACTGGAAAATCTATTTAACATCAAAAGAATTACCAAACCTTTAAATGTCTGTTATAAAACATGCCTAGATAAAATTTCATAATCACATGGCAAAAACACTTACCGGTACAACCAAAGAACAATTGCTTTCCATTTTATGTGTAAAAACCCATGTTAAAGCATAACATTACGATCTCAATGAATTGTATTTATCTTTTAATCTTATATGTTTCATACACCTTTTACTGCAAGTATATATTTTAAAATGGATTTCATATTTATACATATAAATGTAGTATTAATCTATCAAAATTCAAGCCAAACAATTATTATTACATTACAAAAGTTATGGTCACAGAATTGAATCCTGCTCAAAATTAAAATTAAACAAAATGCAATTGTTCTCTCTTTTTTATAATTTCAACTTGAAAAAAAAACCCAAAAAATATATATACCTGTAGTTTAACCTATTCTTAGGAATAACAGACATAATCAACATCTTCAGTTCATTGTTGTCAAACAAATGACACACATAGAAATGTACAATAGAAACAGATTTGTACAGAATTGTTCATCTGCTCCTGTCTTCACCACTCAAACGATAGATCTTCATGTAAGGAATCTATAAGATCATCTGTCAAAAGCACTATTTAATGCGAAATACTTTTCTTGAGATCAAAGAGCTCCTCGGTTATATCTCCATTTAGCTAACTGTGCTCTAATGTCACTTCGTAAATTGTGTGCAAAACACAGTAAAAGAATCTGAAAAAAAGTCATAGAGATCATCAACACTAAACGTTTTAATAGAATTTCATGAATGACAATTTTCCTAAAATAATAACATATAAATATGGACAATTAGACAATAATCCATCATAGAAACTACATCAGAAGATCTTTGTCAAACAGAAAACTTAATTCATATAGTTTGCACAAACAATGAAATTATTATAAAAAATGTGATATGGACATGACAGGTCCTTAAAGTATTCATGTATTGTTGCCTGTCCTAACAGTAGCCACAAAATTCATTTTAACATCAAAGGAGCCTTAAATTTTGTGCAGGCCACTGCAACATTGGGTAAATAATTTGAACTGCAAGTGTAAAAAAACATAAGTAAAGTTTTCTATGGCTATTGCACCTATTCTAAAGATGTTTAACCTTTCTATGGCTATCACATCTATTCTGAAGATGTTTGACTGACCTTACTATGCTGTCACACCTATTCTAAAGATGTTTGACCTTTCTAAGGCTATCACACTATTCTAAAGATGTCTGACCTTTCTATGGCTACCACACCTATTTCTGAAGATGTTTGACCTTTCTAAGACTATTACACTATATTAAAGATGTTCAACTTTTCTATTGCTATCAAACTTATTCTTAGATTTTTTACCTTTCTATGGCTATCACACCTAATCTAAAGATATTTAGCAACATTTTAAACCATTACCTGTACGACTGCAATACCAACAGCTACTGAGGCAACAACTATGAGATTACTTTGCAACCATTTCTGTCCTTCTGGTATACAACCAGTAGTGTATATATATGTAGTTCTATCAAAATCCTGAAAAAATATATATAAAACCAATATATTATCAGAGGAATAAAATTTACTTGTATGATCCTAATTTGGATACACATAAAATTTCAAAGTATGAAAGATTTTCTTCAATTTTCTTAATACAGAGTTGAATGTATGTACAATAGACCTTATCGCTATTTGGAAATCTGCGCCGCTTGACCCGATAGTCTGCGCCTCTTGAACTTTTGACGTCATACAACAATCACTTTTCCATTGTGGGGTCAGATGTTTTCTATTATGACGTCAAAATTTTACAGTAACCTTTGTGATGTCCAGTAATGGCGGACAAAAATAGCGATAAGGTGTATAAAAAATCAGTATAAAATATAAAGCTAAATGTACTTATTTTTCGGGTAAATAAGGTTCAAAATTCAACCTTTTTATATGGATGCTATAAGGGAAGTCTATCAAATGTATCTATAGAATGTTATAACTATTTTTGGGGAATTTACTTAGGTAAATCGCTTTCATGAAAGAAAAATGAAGGTAACCTTCCTGCTATTTTAAACAATAATGTAAATCTACTTCATTTGCTTTTTTATTCAGTTTATTCATCACCTTCTCTATTGGAAACTGCAAAGTTAGATCTTAAATCGCACAAATTCTTTGATTGATTAATAAGTCAATAACTGTATATTTCAAAAGATGGATTTTGAAGTTTTATTTGTGACTTTATCCCCTTTACATAAAATTGAGAATGGAATTGTCTTGTTAAAGAACTGACATGTTACAATTCATTATCATGTATTGTTAACTTTAAGATGTTGTGGAACGGGAAACAAAATAAATAATATTGATTTAAATAAAGAATGTGTTCAATGACCCTCCATATCAAAGGTTCTCTATAACCTCTTAACAGGATGTAGGGTAACTGATTTTAGAAATTGTGGTCATTGGAACAATCATTAAGCAAAATAAAAAAAAAATTCTAAGTTATTAAGCTGAACGAAGTAAGATAGTGTACTTGAAACATTGTTTCTAAAAATTAACATAGATAAAAAAGATACTTACATGTTTTTTCAGCATCATATCATGACCACATTGAGTATTGACAAATGAAGTCTGAAACAAATATCAAATTTTATCAGAAAAATTTGTCCCATGTCTCATACAATGTTAAAAAAAAACAAACCAAGAAGCATTATTTTTAAATAGACAATGAACAATAATATATAAATAAGGAAGTGTAGAATGATTACCAAAGAGACAACTATTGACTAAAGACCAATGGATGTCAACAACTACAGATCACTGTACAGACTTAATTAGCAAAACCCATACCCTATATAGTAAGCTATAGAAGATCCCAGGATAACAAAATAAGAAACAATCCAAAGGAGAAAAACTAACAGCTTGATTTAAACTTATAAAATCTAACAACAAACAGTTATGGCTGACAGCAACCGACAACAACCACATAAACAAAGTGATGAGGTTAAACATGTGTGTGACCGTTCATCCGTTTTGATAACATGTTGTTGTTTGGGGGGTACTAGTACTATTTTTTGTAGATTTTAATCCTTTCAACCAACTGGACGTTAAGCAACCAACAATCAATCTATCCTTTCAACCAAGAAATTAAGTGCCAAATAGATACATATTTGCTATTATGTCTGAATGTGTTTATTATAAAACAATGAATTTCAAACCTCATTAACCAAAGATGTTTTCACAAACCATGAAAATTGATACCCATGAAGAAACATACTCCCATTGAATGAATTGATATGATGTTCTACAGGGATATTTTTTCCAATAGATCACTGTTTCTCATGTAAAACTTACTTCCTGCAGACAGTTTTCTTGGCTGGCAAATTAAAAGTAACGGTCCTAGGTTGGCATCCTTTATCAGAAACCTTTTAGTCAAGTCTGATTTCAAGTAGTTTAGCAGTACTTGCTTTTTGAGTTTAAGCTAATCATCAAAAGCTGTTTTTTAAACTGTGTCAGAAATGTTTATATGACTAGAACTTAAATATAACAACAATCATATGAAACTATTTTCAAAGTTTGGTCAAATAAACTTCAGTGGTAAATGAGAAAAATGCAATTATGTAAAATGATGCCAAGATAAAAGATAAAAAAAAACACTGATTAAAGGGTTAAACATTCTAAATGTAAGTAAAAATCTTAATGATATATTTTTTAATACCTTCACAAGTTATTCTTATTATAATACAATACTATAGCTAGATCTTGACTTGGTGTATCAGATTTTCTAAAAAGTTAAGAATATACCAGTTAGTGTAAAGTTTGATCTGACGTTTTTACTATTTGTTTGATTAATGCAATTATTCAACCACTTCAAGTTTTGTTTCTACCTACCCCATCTTTCTTGATACAACATGATGACGGTACACCACAAGTTTCTATACCAGGAGATGAGCAATTAAAATACATGTTTAATTCCCAATCTTTATAGGAATCCACACCACAACAAAATAACTGAAATTAATAAAAACATAATATTAACTTATAATACCACTTTTTATGATTAATTTTGTATACAGATAATCTACATTATTATATTTCACCATAAAATACCAGCTTTTGATTGGTTAATACGAGGTTGACAAATTACTCTATCCGATGGCTCAGGGAGACAATTTTTAGAATGTCACCCTCTCATGCAGACCTTTCAAAAAGTTTTAGGACAATGAATTAAATTTGCATCAATAATTTTAAAAACAATGCTTAAGTTCTACGTTTCAGCCTCAGACCTTTTTCATTCATAGACTGTCAACATAAAAAAAATATCTTGCTTCACTTTTGTTGTTTTCCTAATGACTGTAATGTTGTTATGAACATGACACCATAGTTAAATACTTTCAAATTTCAATATAAAAAACAATAACGACAGAGCATTCAGTATAATAAACAAGCATTCTGAGAGTATTGCATGGCAATACATAGTCCTCTACCGGGTAAAAATTCATTTTACTGGAAAAAAAAGCTAACTTGTTCTCATGGTGTAAACAAAAAGAAAATATCAAGTCAATATCTTCAAGCGTGACTAAAAACAGTGTGGAAAACTGATTAAATGAGTGAATTTTCAAGTCCAAGGACCATAACTCTGCACAAAATTATCAGACTGAAACAAAATTTTGAACTTGATCTGTATAACTTGTCATGATAAAACTATATACCAATTATCAATCAATATCTTCAAGCATGATGAAAAAAAGTGTGGAAAACACTTTAACATTAGATATGATTAATAATTCTCTAAAATTAGATATGATGTAATACAGTGTATATCTATTTTCAAATTATAATCAAATATAATTAATAGTTCCAAATATTTTTTTCTTTTATTTGTCACAAACTAATATAGATTTGTAACTTATCTATAAAATGTCAACAATTTTTATCTACACAATGTAATGTAATATATACATAAATAAAAATAGATTATTATCTAATTAAAGGATTTCACTTCATAATTTTTTATATATATATATATATATAGCATTCAGAAAATTAGTTTATACAAAATAACAAACAACCTGCCAAAAAATTCTTCAAATAATTTACCAAAAAATGTCTTTTAAAAAATGAGTGATCTCCCTTTGTACAGAAATATGGTTTAACATAGTACTCCAACATTAGATATGGTCCAGAGTTATGGTCCATAACTCTGGACTAAATCATCAGACCGGAACAAAATTCGAACTTGATCTATAAATTGTCATGGCAAAACTATATACCAAATATCAAATCAATATCTTCAAGAACGAAGAAAAAAAGTGTGGAAAGCTGATTTGCCGGACTGACAGACGGACAGAGTGCAAACCTAATGTCCCCTTCGACTTCGTCGATAGGGGACTAGACTTCGTCGGTAGGGGACTAATTAAATAACACATAGCTGAGAGGGTGAAGGAGCAGATTGTTTCTCCTTGAAAAACAGTGTCAACCTTGGCTTTACAATGTTTTCTCAGGGTAACAATCTGCTCTATTCCCCTCTCAGCTGTGTGTTATATATTGTGCAATGGAAGATCTATGATCTTCTTATTTTAGGTGTACATAGTCCCAAAAGGTTGGGTCAAAAAGATCACGAATTATGTTAAAATGACCGTCTCTTAAGAAAGCCTTGAAATCTAAAAAGTAGATGACCGTTTCGTGCTTTGCCCAGCCGGACTTTTACCGGACATTATACAAATGTCCGGAATATATGACCGTTTTGGAAGCCTTGGTACATACATCCTTCTAAAATCATCCTATCCTTTAATTGATCTGCAATGGACTCTTTACAATATACTCCACTATTTTTTTTATGCAAACTGCATCCATATATTATTAAGCTGTAATTGTTATAGCCAATAAATAAATTGTTGACACAGAGATATGTCTTGCCTGTATGTAATTTATGCAAATGTTCTAAAGTCAATGAATCACGACTAAAGAAGAAGGTCCTTAAAAACTCAATGAATATAAGATGTACTAATGCTCATACAACTGCATACCAAATAACTTTGACATACAATTAGTGGTTCCTTTGAAACTGACCTAATAACAAGCTTTAACATGTAAAATGTGTAAAAATTTCAAAGTCAATAGACCATGAATGAGAGGGCAGGGCCAAACAATCTCCATGTATATGAGAAGTGTTAACCCTTATACAACTGCATACCAAATATCATTGACTTACAATTAGTGGGTCCTCTTACTCTGACCTAATCATTAGCTTTACACAATTGTTGATAATGCCGCCCCCCCCCCCAGAAACAGAAAGCCTAAGTCTCACCTTTGCAACTTACACACATGCAACTAATTGTAAATGCAATTACACTTGGTAAATTATTTTCCTAATTTTCAAACAATGTCTGCTCTTTTTCTTTATTTATGTAATATAAATTTGCATCTTGACATTTTGTGTGTCTTTGGGTTGATATCACATTGATGTATACCCCCATATCGATAACTTTGATACTGTTATTGATTACCCAATCTTCTTGAACCCAGTCAATTAAGTTTTGGAGATCAACATCTTCTCTGTAATTAACTATCATATTCTTTACTTGTGTCTGTATTTGGTCTTTCACCTACATTGTATAACAAAGATTCTGTATTTCATCTTATCATATTAACATATATTAAATTATTTAGTACATTTATTTCCATAATCTCAACAATATTCTTTTTTCAATATAGGTGTTGTGTGTCATTTCTTGAAATTTCTACGCAAACTTGCCAGGCACGGATTCAGATAGGGGCAAATCTGGTATGCCCAATGTTAAAAAAAAACCCAAAAACGTAAAAAGCTTAAAATTACATCCAATTTTGTGTTAAAAATGAGGTCTTCTAAATTCTAATTGTCAGGAGTAACCCCCCCTCCCCTAACATCAAATCCTGGATCAGCTCCTGCATGCACAACAGTGTATGCATTAAATTGATAATTGCAAAATTTGGTTATAAATCTATAAAGAATTATACACATGAAACTTGAATGGAGTGCTGAGTGTTATCTATTTTCAAAATTTAGTTTTTGTAATTTTCTTACCTGGTACACCGCTTTACTTACCCAATCTTTATAAATAAAGGCTAACACACCAACAATTAGCTGCCCAGCAAATATTAATCCAACTAATAAACAATACTAAAAAAAAATAATATCATTATTCAATTATGCAACTTTTCAAAACTATGTACAATTCATGCAAAAATATTCGAAATATTAAACCATAACAGGCACAACATGTGACCTAGCTAGACCATATGTCATAATCTCTGACATAAAATAAAAAACCTACATATACCAACAGTATGACTAGTACTGCTGTTACATGAAAAAAGGGAACCTTAAAAAAAACCATATAATTTGGAAAGCAGATACAAAATGGGGTATTTGCAACTCAAGATGAATCAGATCAACAGAATCTTAATTAACCATCTAAAAACTTCGTTTTCTGTCAAAAGGCATCCTAAGTGTTTCAAAAGGAGTCAAGATGAAGATCAGCAATTAATTAGACCATCTAAAAAGAACTATCTATTGTCTTATTTGAATTGCAAAACCCAAAATTAGTAACAGTAACATGGTTCATTCAATGAATCATTTATTGTTTATAAAATGCTCCCTAACTAGTTGTACAAATGCAAAAGCATAGGACTGTCTTATTCTATGAGAAATACAAATATCCTTTGACTTAACTTGAGTAATCAGAAAATCCTCAAGGAGATTTAACTCCTTCAGGAGCATAAAGAGGTAATTGGCAGGATAGTGTGTCTTCCACTTCTTCCAGTTCAATGATCCCTTGTCAAAGGTAACTATTTCATTATTCAACCGATCATTTCCCCTTTGAAAGATCTCTTATTTTTCTCATTGATACAATGAAACTTTATGGTGACGATGACGTTTTATTTTTAATGACCTTGACTACCCATGAGGGTCTTGCACGGTTGGTGTGAGGTCAGTACTTCAGACTTTTCAAGTTGTTAACCAGGTATATTGCCAACTGCATGTACATTTGTAAATCAGAGATGTTAAAATAAAATTATTCAAATACTCATGATTTTCCATTCTTTATCCTTTCTACTTATTATAAATCGACTAGCTATAGATATAAATCGTATGTGTGAAGAGGAAAAGCCTTTCTTAATAAAAAAAATTAATTAAAACATTTATTCTTCATAACAGCAATATTTAAAAGTATAATTCCATTGATTATTGTCAGTTTCTACTCATTCCCCTTTCACCCAATGATGATTCATTCATATATTCCTAAGATTTCCAAGTGTAGTCAGAACCTAGAGAGTGTCATGTAGTGTTTTCCAATTACAGACTGATGTTTTTTAAGGTTCAACAACTCAATTAAGGCTGATTTGAAATATAAACCACAAGTGTATAGGAAACACTCTAGAAATATGATGCCTCTAATCACTCACTATCTTTTTATGAGATTCTACAAATTGTAGGCTACAGATGTTCCTTAAGGAGTTTGTAATATGATAAAACATTTGAAAACCTTTAGAGAAATGTCAATTATGGTGTATAAAGTTTTTTTTAAAAACTACGAAACTGTTATAAAAACAGCACAATAGTTAAGTTTTTGCACTAAAGCTGTAGATTGGTTTGCTTTTTTCTGGAGGAAGAAATAACGATAAAAAATGCACATTCAACATCTTGAGCACCTTCAATATCACACAGTCATACAATGTATATATAACCTACGGGTATATATTCTAATTCGTGTCTTTTTACTTGATTAGTTTAAAGAAGTCAGTAATCATTACATTTAAAAACATGTCCTACAGGTTTAGACAGTGCATGTTTCAATATCTGTATTATGCAGTTTATATGACAAAAGAAATTTAACTGACAGAGTGAAACACATCTGCAATCAACGAGAATTATTATGAATATGAAATATAAACATGCTTTTTTTTTGTCTAAACGATATGATGTAATCACCCCTAATCTATTCCTAATTACTTTAATACAATGATAAATCTTGAAAACTGGCTAGAGAGATTATGGGTAAATATCAAATTAATGAATAATAAATGGAATTGAACAGAAAATCATTTTATATGATCAGAAAGTGTATCAATATAATGGATTTAAGTCACCATATGAAAATGATATTAACAGAGAATAAATCACATGGTTTCGATTTGAATGGCTAGCTACTTTCATGCTCTCAGCACACACAGATAACCAGGATCATTTTAACATTTTGATAAACCTAAGAAACAATATAAAAACAGATCAGAATAGTAAAACTCTTGGTACAGAAGATTGCTTTTTCTTATCCTGGTTTGAAAGGAAATACAAAAAAAAAAAACTGAAATTTAAACATCAGGCGAGATCTCAGTATAGAAATACTCTAATCTGTTTTGGGCGGCCAAATCAGAAAATTGCATCGGACTCAGAATCCAAAGCTTTTAAGGGATTAGAAAATCTCTTACCAATCAAGCAAGAACTAAATGGTTCTTTTTGTCTACCTTTTGAGACTTTTTTTTAGTATATTAAATCTCTTATCTCTAATCAAAGGGGCAGGAACTAAAAGGTTCTTTTTGTCTACCTTTAAAGACTTATTTTAGTATATCAAATCTCTAATCTCTAACCAATTGATCAGGAACTGCTCACCCTACCTTAGTACCTGAGTTCATCCCCCTGTTTTTTGTGTTGTTCAATCTTAAATTTTCTGTTGTGCAGTTGGACATTGCATTGTGGACTCTTGTTTTGTAATCTTTTTGTTGTTTTTCTTTTGTTTATACAAGCAGTTTTTTTATGTTTTATTTCAACTAATTTTTTAATTGTGCCCTTGGTATCTTCTCCCTTTCACCATGCATGCTTACAGACGCAATGCCTTTCAGTTGGATTTTAAACAATTTAACTTGCATATTTTGAAATGTTAAATATCCATACTTCAGTTCTATCTAAAAAGTGTTTCAATATATACGTATATCATGTGTATGCATGTTGCTTAGGTTTAATAATGGATTTAAGACAAACATAACAAATAAAAATAAGCCGATCATGTTGAAAGAGCAAAAAAGTTCAGCAAAAGAGATTATGCCCTTGAATAATGGTTATAACATATAACAAGACCATATGATACAATCATGCTTACAACAATTAATCACAAAACAGATTATATTAGTAATGTATATTTGTTAATGATTTATTTAATTAAGGGTAAATATCAAATTAATGAATAATGAATGGTACGTGTATATGGTGCAGAAAATCAATTCATATGGTACAATAGTATAATCACACCACTAGTTAAACCTGCAATATGTAACTTTGCCTGTCCGTAGCTTGCTTATACTAAGTATCTTAATGGTTTCTGTCCTTTAAACAATTTGGTATTGAAAGTTAATCTTTGGTAGTCTCAATATAATTTATTCAGTTTTTTTTCTAGACTTTTGGGCAGCAGTCTCGTTGATTTACAGTTTAACATACTTGTATGTTACAGGCACCTGTCTATTGTTTGAAACTGTTTGTTGACATTTAGATTTCTTTTTGTATTTTTTGTATTGTATGGTTGCTGTCTCATTTAAGTTATACCCCAAATCTCTCTATATTCATGTATTTAAGTCAATAATAAACAAGGCCCTTTATAGCTTGCTGTTCAGTGTCAGCCAAGGCTCCATGTTTTTACACATTATGACTTGGATGGATAGTTGTCTCACTGGCACTCATACCACATCTTCTTATTTATAAGAAGGCACTTGTTGTCAAGCTAAGCATACCCTACTCTTGATTCAAAGTAGTAAAAAGAAAACTGGAAGTGACAGTAGACGTCTGATGGATCTGAAAATGCACACAAATTACAACTTATCAATGTTGAGCTGGTGACCATATAGGAAGTCATTCTTTAGAGTAGTAACTGGAGAAATGTGTGATAAAAAAATAGTAGTTATTTCATCATATTGAACTAGATACTCCCGCAGAGGTCCAACCCTGAACAGTTGGGGCAAAAATGGACACAATATTCAAGCTTGATTCAGGTCTGAATTTGGATTGTAATTAAATATTTGACATATTATAGGTTTCTGAATAAATGTAGTCAAAGATCTTGAAATTGGTTATATAAATTGAATTTATATTCAATTAAAGATTTCTTGCTGTTGTGCAATACTTCACCAAAGTTTCATGAGAATTGCTGAAAGCATTTTTTAGTTTTTGTCCGAAAACTGGAAAATCCCCCCTTTTTTATGAATAAAACCCTGTAACTCGCAAACGTAAAATCTAAAATTTATAAAAATCGAAAGGGAGCTCATGTCAATAGATATAAACAATTCACCATTGTTTTATGCAAATTGGTAAAAGCATTTTTGAGTTAATGTCCGACATGTTGACGACGGACAGACGGACGGACAGACGGACAGAGGTATACCATAATACGTCCCATAAACGGGCGTATAAAATGAAAAGTATACGCAAACAGGATGTAGATGTCAGACAGATCCGAAATGAGCTCCCATGTTACAATTCATCACTGTCAAGCTGACAGCCAAAAATGAAATCATCAGGTTTAGTAGTTCCTAAGAAAAGTGGAACAAAATATTTGTTGAAGGAATGGACAGAGGAACAAGGTGATAATCACAGCACCCACTCCTAGAGAGGGGCTTGGGTATAACAAGAATAAATAAAAGAAAAAAAAAACCGACTTTTTCCATTTGAATACCCTTTGCGATGCACTAGATACTACTTGAACACATTATTAAAAAATAACCACAATCAATACCTGTACATCATTAATTCATCACATTGGTGATTCAATGATTAATTCACAAGATATCCATCAATTCAATTTTACCTACAGTTTATGTAATAAAAAATTTTAATGGAATTAAACTAACAAGTCAAATCAAATAGATCAATTTCCCAATAATATCATGTCTGTCATAAGCTACAATGGCCTACATTTTTGTACATCAACAATTTTTATATAGAAGTATATATAGCAGTAGTAATGCTTTCAGTGAAAGACACTATTGATTGTATGTAGGTTTAATTGTCTTTTTTATGATGGTAAAAACCTTTTTATTGAAAACTTTTTCCCAGAATAAAGAAAAATTATTTGCCATATAAATGCCAATAAAGATCAGAATCAGAACTTTAAAAATGTTGATACCAAATTGCAGTTCTATTTTGACATGGTTACCATAAGAAAAGCTACATAAATAAAGCCTTCAGAATTTGTTGAATGATCAAATTATACAATATTATAATAGTTGATCTGTATCTTCTTTATGGCATATATCTTGTCCAAATCAAGGTAACTCTAATTATAAAGGCAAAGTGTATATGCAATGAATACTCTAATCATTCTTACAATTCTACACATAGTTGGGATTTTTTGTCAATTTTGAAAGTTCTTCAAACAAATATTTAATAATTGACCCATTGAAACAATTTTTTAAAAAGCCATCATGTCTTTATAGATGTCCATACTAATTGGCATGTTCAAGATCATTGTCGCTTCAAGCAATGTTTTACAATTTCACTGAAATGAGTAAGTTCTTTAGGGCCATTTTTGCCCCTGTTATTAAGTTCAATGTTTCAAGATAAAAAATGTTTTAAAGGGACATTAGCTGTCAAATTCATGTTCACCGATTTGACTCAAATTCTCATATTTGATTTCTACCATACTTAAACATATAATGCTAGTAGTCTGTTGTTATTTATGTATTATTGTCATTTTGTTTATTTTCTTTGGTTACATCTTCTGACATCAGACTCGGACTTCTCTTGAACTGAATTTTAATGTGCGTATTGTTATGCGTTTACTTTTCTACATTGGCTAGAGGTATAGGGGGAGGGTTGAGATCTCATAAACATGTTTAACCCCGCCGCATTTTTGCGCCTGTCCCAAGTCAGGAGCCTCTAGCCTTTGTTAGTCTTGTATTATTTTTAATTTTAGTTTCTTGTGTACAATTTGGAGTTTAGTATGGCGTTCATTATCACTGAACTAGTATATATATTTGTTTAGGGGCCAGCTGAAGGACGCCTCCGGGTGCGGGAATTTCTCGCTGCATTGAAGACCTGTTGGTGACCTTCTGCTGTTGTCTGTTCTATGGTCGGGTTGTTGTCTCTTTGACACATTCCCCATTTCCATTCTCAATTTGATCAAAATTATAAAAAGTCTGAAATAAACAATTTACTATGCATGGGCTCGATAATACGTATCAGCATTTTTTGTGTGTATTCTAGTCTAGACGCCATCAAATTAACCATCGAGGTGACCTCCAAAGACGGTCATATAACCTGATATAAACATAAATATAGATATAAATAGATAGCAAACACGTGAAATCAGATTTTTTCTAGGTCTGTTAGATTTCATATTATAGGTTAAAAAGATATGTTAATCATCGTTTTTACCTGTATAAGAATGAGTTTTGTGGATCGAATCAGTCAACCAAATTGTTTACCCTTGTTTCACTTTCAATGTTGATATTCTTTTCCTTTTAATAGCTGAACACGCCTAGTTTGTGCGTAAACCATCTCTTGCTAAGGGGTTAAATTGAAGGTCACATGAATACGGATTCAATGAGGTCGAAAAATTCATCAGCAATATTTCTTAGCTTATTTTGACAAAATTGAACCAAACTGGCTACTAAAAGCGAATTATTATTTCACTATTTCACTTTCATTAATGATTGAACAAAAAAATTCATATTTCAATTTTTTTTTAAATCTAGTAGCTAATGCCCCTTTGAGTTGATGAAAAGAATTGTGATAAAGATAAATAGAACTATTTTTGTCAAAGTTATATTTTAAAGCATTGATTTTTGCATACCAAATAGGCCAACAAATTTACAATATGTTTCCTGCTGAAGAAATTAATGTAAATTTATCTTTTTCATTGAATTTTTGTGGAAAATCAAAATGAGTGCCATTTGTGGCATCATGAAAAGAACACAAGTATGTAAATTTTCATCAAAAAGACATTTGAAATTGTTGCTAGAAATACGGGGGCAATTTTAGGGTCTTATCAAACCTAACCATTTGGCAATAGTTTGGGTGATGCATTTATTTGAAAAGAAGACCCTTTTTCCTTATTTAGAACCATCCACTTAAACATAAGGAGAGTTAAAGCTGAAATAAGGTATAAATAATAATATGGCATCAATATTTCAAATATTAAATTAGTCAAATGATAAATTTTCATTTAACAAGTTTGACATTTGAGAAGATACAATGATTGTATGAATGTACAGTGTATCAATTTAGAGTATTGAATGATGTCCATTAACTATACCTGCAGTCACACAGTCATATATGTACTTAAATATCAAAAGCAAAAAAAGACATAAATTAAGACAAGGCAGCTTGAAGGTACATGTACATGTAAACTGAATAAACCATAAGATGTCTACAGCTGCAGGTGCTTTAATTTACAATACATAAAATTTATGAAAAGCACAATTCGCTATACATTTATACTTACAAATAACAAAAGTCCTGTATTTTCTCTAAGTGCACCAATACACCCAGCAAAACAGATAACAAAAATAACTGCTCCCGTAATGATGAAAAACAATGCAGGATCAAATGAAATTTTCGTAAGTTTACCAATGTTGTTAAACATATCTTTCTCTGCCCATGCCCATAATCCTATTGCCAAACAAACAGCACCAACAAGCTGAAAATACAAATAAAATACAATTGTATAAATCATTTTTCTGAATACTGATACTTTTGGTGTGTAGACTTAACATATCTCTCTAATTTTTACCCGATTTATCCCTTTCATAACCTGTTTGATCTCAGTTCTCCATTGGTCAAAGTTCGATTATGATGTCAAATTTTCTTACTATCCTCTGAATTTCCTATTATGAAAAAAGGAGACCATGTCTGATGACGTCACATAGAAAGAACGCATATTTTTGCAGATCATTCAAAAAGAAGGATTAAGATTGTCTGTATATCGTCTAAAAATCATTAAAGAGGCAGATTCCACCACCAAATCTTGTGCAAAACAATATCTTTCCACTGGCAACAGTTAAATTTTAAATATTCAAAACACTCTCCAAGCCTCAAGTTTTGAATTTGAAAATATAACTGTCTGGAGTGGATAAATATCATATCACACTTGATGCAGTGGTAGAATCTACATTTGTATATACATGTATATATACATGTATGAAAATACAACCAATTTACTGAACATTATTTCATTGAAGCCACAAACACTAATAAAATGGAATAATATCATACATGTACATGTAGTTCATCATTCTAAATGCATGTACAAGTTGTATAAAAAAAAATGCTGAAACCCCATTAAATAAAAAGCTTAATTATTTCATAACCCTAATCAGAAATTTGCCTGTCCCAATCACCCCCTATTTATATGCATGTTCGAAGCCAAGAGTGAGCATTGGTTGTCTTTGGATTCTGTCTGCAATTATTGTGTTTCATGTATTGTTTTAGTAAAAATCAGGCAATTGGTTTTCTCTTTTGAATTTGTTTCACATTTTGTCATCCTGGGTTTTTTATTGCTCAATATATTACAGTATGAGTTTTTAGCAATGTTGAAGGTCGGCGGTGACCTATAATTTTTTGCATCCTTGTCCTTTCATCTTTGTGGAAAGTTGTTCCTTTGGCATTCATAACACATCTCCTTATTTTTTTTTTAAACTGTGCAAAATTCACATTTTTGGAGGTAAAACTTGGGATTTAAAACATTTTATCTTTAATTTTTTCTTTTAAATCTAGAAGTGGAATATTGTTATAAATGTGCCTAATATTTGAAGTACCGTAAAGATATTTGTCCTAAGAAAAAAGAAAAGCTTGTTTCAAAATTAATCTAATAATATGTACAAATGCATGCAGTCTTTTCTTTTTCAATCAAAGATGATCTCTTGTTGCAGTTGTTGGTGAAAAAACATTTCATAAATTTGATTAAATTTTTGAGCATACAAATGAAGCAGGTTTTTTTTCAATGAAGGCAATATATCAATTATATCACTGTGGGCAAGGAATCTGGGTCTGTTCTCCATACTACATGTACCTGATCACCCATATTAATATTTTGTTCTGTGTTATGGTTTAATGATATAATTTGCATGATATGTTTGTTAAAATTAAGAATATCAATACAGGGTATAAATGCTTAAAATGTTGAAATATTTGGCAATCTAGTTTAGTACAAAATGCAGTGCTCTCTGATGACTGTTTTGACACTGCGTTATTCAACGATGTTGCATATAACCGCTGTTTTATTGGACATACAACAGCTGCGACTATCCATTCAAATCACAGCGCTATTGTTTTTCTAAGCTTCAAATTTCCTGTGTTTACTGTACAATTTTAATCACATGATCACCTACAACCTGGTTGACTTGTCTGAGATCATTTATTTTACGATGTCAAATATATATCGGATGGAGCATTTCAATAAAGGAAAAAATTCTCCTAGACATAACTTTTACTGTAAAAATATTAATTTCTGTCTAGAGATTTTACTTAAAAGAATAAAAATGATGAAGAAATTTCATGAAATGGGTGAAAGAAATCAGTGGAAGCTGGGAACAGTATATCTAACAGGAAATGAATCTGATAGGCTTTTCAGTATAAAATTGATAAAATCTCGGACTCAACGAGACTTCGCGAGCTTTATGGATTTTGGTGGCGTCTGACTGAAAAACTATCGGAACTGCTCAATAAATTAACCACATAATTCTAATCGTAAATAAATACAAGTTTTATCATAAAGTAGATACATTTTGTCATATAAAATGACCAAAATAAGTGTGATTTATTTGATGTGAAGTGTTTTATAATGTTTTTGAATTTGGGAAGGCAATCGGCGCTATTTTTTTTTTACCCTGTTTGCATTCTGTACCGTTCTGTGATAAAATGAATAAAAAACAAATTTGAATTGACAGAATACAAGTTTGATACACTGGCATCACTGTAAAACTAGTTAGAATGTCATTTTATTGATATTATCAAAAATTATTAGGATTATAGCGAGTACGTTTTTAACACATGTCCGTTTCTGTATTGTATCTTTATTACCTATGACCCGACAATAAAATCGGCCACAATTAGGTAGTGTCAAGTCCCGTTAATATATATGTTCCTGGTGGAAGTCACTCCAGAAATCATGAATGTCCATTATTATTCATGAAAATTTCATGACAGTAAGTTGATGTACAAATCATTATATATTGGACTTGAAAATTGGTTAAACACTTCATATCTTACGAAATGAAAACAAAAGACTGAATGAATGACTTAGAAGTATAATTTCTTACCCAAAATAGGACATTGAATCCAAACATCAAGTATTTGATAACACAGCTAACTTCTGTCTTATCTTTCCGAATTTTCCGTGACATAACCATTTGTTTGTTGCGCTCCATCTTTTTAAATGCAAACCAGTATCAACACAAATCCATTTGTTTCTATTTGTTTGAAGATAAGGTAAACAAAAGATGGGGATTCATCAGCTGCATTGTATATTGGTTATTTACATTTTATCCGGAAGTGATGTTGGTCGTCGTATTTGAGACGCTTGAACAGACGATCTAAATTTGAAACTGTTCAATAACTAGAAAAATTAAATGTCACATCAATAACTACACAAAGTAACTTATAAAGTTTGCTTAAAGTTTGAAAATTTATCTTACTTTTTGAAATAAAATCTTAATTGCACAACAAAAGACCACATATATCTGTTAAACGCTCAAGAATCTTTGTCTCTTCAGCGTTTTAACGAGCACCTGCAATGGAGACCACAGATGATAGCAAGGACACAAAAATGTCCTTGTCCAAAGAAGACATTGCTTTTAAATATTTGCCTATAGCAGGAGCTGTTAGCTATGAAATCTTTTCTTTGAATATCATGAACCCTAGAGAATTCTCAAAGTGAGTTGTCAGATGATGGAAAAAGATAAAATAAATGATAGGTTTTATGTATGAAATGCTTGCCACTGGACGTTAACAGTGCTGTCAAGTCTTGCGCAATTAGCGTGAGACTCCCGCTTTTTTTTTTGCTTATTTGGCGGCACTTTCCATTGATCTATTGTTTTTTTCTTTTTGATCTTTACAATTTTGTCAAATCTCACGCATTTGCTTCATGAAAACTTTTTTTCGTAGCAAGGCATCACAGCAACACACTATAATAGCCTTTCAATAGATATAAGAAGATGTGGTATGAGTGCCAATGAGACAACGGTACCTGAGACAACTCTCCATCCAAGTCACAATTTGTAAAAGTAAACCATTATAGGTCATTATAATTATTTGGACTAAAGTATAGTAAAACCTGGGACTATTATAGTATAATAGTCCCAGATAAAACATACTAAGATTTTGTTTATACTGTTATGTAAAAAGTTTTAAAACAGTTATAATAAAAAAAAAAACAGTTAGCATCGTAATAAAACAATATCGTCACCTAAAATGACTGCATTTTCCACCTACATGACCATCAATATCCCACCCCTAAAGGCTGTCTACAATATGACTGATTTAAATTTCCTCCTTCGAAACAAATATTTTTATTATAAAACTTATATGTTTGATTTGATTACCTAAAAAGATATGTCACAGTGTTTTGGTTATCATTAATTAATTGGTGGTTTCTGATCGATTATTGATCTTCAAACATTGTACAGCATCATTGTAATCAAAGGGGAGCTGATATAAGCTCCATAAAGTTTCACAATGAGTTGATTTCACCTGTCTCATGTTTTTATCAAAATATAGTTTAATTAAGTGACATACTTACAAAAATTGGATATTGGTTATCATGGTTATTGTTGGGATGTTCTGTTATTTGGTTAAGGGTGTCAATGAAAAGTATTCATGGTAAGGATTTCTTCAGTTTAAAGTAGAATGTGAGGATTCCACTTCAATCATTCTTCAATAGCTTTGATATTTTACTTTCTTAGTAGTTCATATGTTTAAATTCATGGTTTGATATTTATAGAGAAGTACTCTTCATATGCTATATATCTTTCGTATAGTTCAAGCAGAATAAAAAGATCTGCCCTCTACCTTTAAGTCATTCATGCTTCTTAGACTTTGGCAATATTTGTTTCAATAAATGATTCTATTAGACATGCTTATAAAGTTCTCACAATATACCATTGACAGATATTTGGTATGCTTTTGCATTATGGTTCATATGTCTAAAGTACAAGAAGTATTTAAGAATATTAAGATTGCAGTGTTGACAGTTGAATAAGAATCTAAAACCCTATTTTCGAAAGAAATGTGAAGCCTAATTTTAGCCATATTCAAATGAATTAAAAATACCTGGTAATCTTATTAATCTATGTAAGTTTGAAGACTAAGAAGTATTTAATAAGTGATATCCTCTCCAATATACATTGATAAATATTCCAATCCATAAATTTTCTTCTGCAAAAGAGGAAAGTCACATCTCTGCTTAAAAGTTTAATTTTTGGTCATGATAATTCTAACACTCACCATTTTATACTTTCAGTGTGGTTGGTGATAAAGATATCGTATTGGCCAATTCTATTTGGTTCAATGCTCACATAGGACTAGGACTGTACATGTACAACCAGAAACATCTTCAAGCATTGTCAAATAGGGATAGAATAATGTATTCTGTATTTGGAACATGTATATTCAACTTTGGGTCAGTATTATTATGGGCGACTGCCAAACATGTTGTTCCAGATGTACCAGTATTTAGGACTTTATTAGGACTTGCCTCTGGTTGTGGATTGTTGTATGTAGGCAAAAGATACTTAGATCATCTTAATTCATTATGATGACTTAACCATGCTGGATTTGTTTGATGATTATTTCCTTGTTGATTGTGGATTAGATAGATTTCTCAAATTTAGTGAAGGATATTTTTATAGACCATCTTACATATCACTAACCAGTAAACCTTACTACAGCAGTTTTGTAGTATTGTTTGTTACCAGTATGTCATAAAAAACACAAATTTTAAATATGTTTTTAGGATTCCATACAACTGTTAAACAATCAATATGTATTAACTTTATACATGTACCTGTATAATTCTATAGACTGTAATAATACATGTACCACAAAACTATATTTTTTTTTATCATAAAGGATAATATCAAACTGGTGAAATATGACATGACATCTATTTGTGATGGATTTTTTTCTGTGATATTTTTCTAACAAATGTTTTTGGTTAATTCAGTGACTAATGTTGATGTTCATCAAATTGAATTTCAGACTTATATTATTGTTTGAATTTTATAGACATTTATTCTAATAAACATTTGGAAGAAAGTAATTTAATAGTTTAAATATTACTTTTCTGCTTGCCATATAAACATAGTCTGAAACCATAATATGGATATCATATGATTGCCAATGAGACAACTTTCCACCAGAGACCAAATGATGTTAAAGTTAGCATAGGTCACAACTTGCCTTCACCAATGAGCAAACCTATACCTATAAAAAAAACACATGACAAATGTAAAACATTTCAAACGAGAAAAAATATTTTCTGATTTATGTACAAAAAATAAACGGAAAAACAAATATGATATACAGCAACATTAATGACAACCACTGAATTACAGGCTCCTGATTTGAAACACAGAATGTGGCAGGGTTGAACATTTTTGAGGTCCTTGAGGGGTTAAAAGTATAGAATTTAATTGTCAATTGGTGAATCCAGAATAGATTAGTAAATGGATGGATGTATGATGGTTAATGGATATACACTCATCCAGAGGTTGCAGCCTATTCTGAGTTTCCCTTAAAACATGTAAAATGTGTAATACTCGTATTAGAGAGTGTAATAAATGCTTGATGTACTTGTCTCAAAAGTCTACAAGTACATCCTATAACCACAAGGTAAGATAAATGTTTATAGTAGGTTGACCATGCATTATTTCTGCAAACTTTGATTAAATTGGCTTTTAATTCAGAGGGAAGCAGCTGGTTTCAATCAAAAGCCTGATGGCGGCCATATTTCATTACAAAATAGCAAAAATTAAGTTCCACCCTTCACAACAAAACCTTCTGGGTTAAGAATTTAGTTAAAGTTTTAAGTAATTTAGGGAAAAGAAATCCCCGATTAAAAAAAAAACCATAGTTCAAACAAGATATGTCGTGCCTGCTTTAAATCAAAATAAAACAAGCGGATACACGCTAAAATATATCACCTACCTTATCTATAGTGATTGAATTTATGCTGAAAGACTTAAAGAAAAAGATTATACTATTGCTTATAGTATCTGTGAAACAGACACATTTAAGAAAACTGAACTATAACCAATGAACCATGAAAATGAGGTCAAGGTCGGATAAACCTTAAGAGACACATATACACCATACAAGCATTCCATACACCAAATATAGTTGACTGATTACTAATAGTATCTGAAACAAAGATCAACCACAAACAATTAACATTGACCAGTGAACCATGAAAATGAGGTCAAAGTGATGAAACCTGACCAACAGAAATGTATACCTTACAGTCATTTCAACGCCAAATATAGTTGACCTATTGCAATATGGTATCTGTGAAACAGACATGACCACAAAAACTAAACATTGATTAATGTAGCATGAAAATGAGGTCAAGGTCAGATGAAAACTGTCAGACAGATATATACACCTTACAATCATTGCATACACTAACTACAGTTGATATATTGCTTATAGTATCTGAGAATCGGACCAATGGACCATAACATTACATTGACCTATGAAGCATGAAAATTGAGGTCAAGGTCAGATGAAACCCGCTAGACAGACATGTACATCATATAATTGTGCCATTCACCAAATATAGTTGACCATGAAACTTTAACCTTGATCGCTGATCCATGAAGTGTTATCAAGGTCAAGTGAACCCTGTCTGACAGACTTTTAGATCTTTTAAAGATCCCAAATACCAGATACCAATCCTATTACTCATAATGAATGAGAATGAGGTAAAGGACAATGGACATATGACAGATAAATAGTTTGTTACATAAAGCATCTGTATACAAGATAAAAAGAATCAAGATCTTCTACCCTCTGAAATGCAAAGCTTTGTTCAAATAGTTAAGGCAGCTGTTGCCAGAACAGCATCATTATGTCTCACATTTCTGCGACTATAATTAATTATTTTAGCCACAGTTAAAAATCATAGAATTTAACGACTTGAAATCAACCACCCTGTAATTTTGTATAACTCTATGCTATGACATAAAGTTGAGCAGCAACAGTTGATAGCTTGTCCACTTAACCATTTTTGTTTGAATTGATTTGAACCTTAACAACTGAATTGAAGTGGACCCTAACACTTGATCTGAACCCTTAAACTGACTTAATCTTGATCCCAAACAACTGACTTGATCTGGATCCTAACAACTGATATCGGGAAGCATTCTTGTGTAAATTAAGTCTTGCTTAGACCTTTTTTACAAATATTTTTCAACTGAAAAATATCATATCTCTCTGACTTAGTTGCTACATCCAACTTAACCAGTCATTCATGGGCTTGAAATAAGTTTAGTTGATCAAGTTGTATATTTCACTTTGACTTAAAGATGCTGAGATCTTGACCTTTCTTCAAAACTTTACTTGAATATATAAAAGATCTGAGTTCCAATGTCCCCTGTGTAGCGCCAAGGACAATAACTAAACAATTTTTTTTTTTGTTCTTTAAAACTTTTTATTATTAATTTATAGAAATTAAGGGTGAAAGCACTTACAATACAAATTCAATATAATAAATATTTCCAAGGGGCACAGCTTTTAAAAAGTTGATTGGCACTGATTTTCGATCTCGACTGAGACATTGCTGATATAAATTTTGAAAAATCAAACAAGAATTGTACATATGAGAGTGCTAACAATGCAATTTTCCATATTATTATTTTCAAGGGGCATAACTCTTTAAAAAAAGTTTAAAACTTGTCCCAGACATTGCTGATATAAGTTTGATAATAATCTACCAAAAATTGAACAAGTGAGAGGACTTACAATGCATTTATCCATATAAGTGATATTTCCAAGGGCATAACTCTTTTAATAAACAGCTGCGCCATGAGCGCATGATACGCCAGTCGCTTTTTCAAAGAAAAAAGTTCAATAACTTCTCAATGACAAATCAGAAATTTATGAAAAACTAAAGGCAGGTTATCTTAATAGATATAAACTAGTCACTAAAGTTTCATGAAAACTGCTCAAAGCACTTTAAAGATATTGTCTGAAAACTGGAAAATTACCCCTTTTTTATGAATAAAATCCCATAACTCGGAAACGTAAAATCTAAGATTTATAAAAATCAAAAGGGAGCTTACGTCAATAGATATAAACAATTCACCAAAGTTACATGAAAACTGCTGAAAGCGTTTTTGAGTTATTGTCCGAAAACTGGAAAATCCCCCTTTTTTTAATGAATAAAACCCCATAACGGGAAACGTAAAATCTAAAATTTACCAAAATTGAAAAGGAGCTCATGTCAATAGATATAAACAATTCATCAAAATTTCTTGCAAATTGGTGAAAGTTTTTTTGAGTTATTGTCCGAAAACTGGACAATCCCCCTTTTTTTAATGAATAAAACACCATAACTCGGAAACGTAATATCTAAAATTTATAAAAAACGAAAGGGAGCTTACATCAATAGATATAAACAATTCACCAAAGGTTCATGCAAATTGGTGAAAGTGTTTTTGAGTTATTGTCCGAAAACTGGAAAATTACCCTTTTTTAATGGATAAAACCCCACAACTCGGAAACATAAAATTGAAAATTTATATAAATCGAAAGGGAGCTCATGTCAATAGATACATTTAATCAACCAAAGTTTCATACAAACTGGACAAAGCATTTTGAGTTATTGTCCGACACATGGACGACGGACGACGGACAATGGTATACCATAATACGTCCCGTAACCGTTGATCAGCACTGATTTTCAAACTGTTACAGTCTGATGCATTGCTGATAAAAACCTCTGATGTAAGTCTGATAAAAATCTGGCAAGAATTGTAAACATGAGAGTGCTTACAAGACCTGACGCATAAATGCGCTGATGCATGGATGGACAGACACACGCCCGGTACTTGTATGTCAACTGCAATGCATAGTGATGGGGATAAAAATAGGTATGATGTGGTTCATAAGTGTTTCTCGTGTCTCGTTTTTTATATAGATTAGACCGTTGGTTTTCCCATTTGAATGGTTTTACACTAGTAATTTTTGGGGCCCTTTATAGCTCCTGTTCGGTGTGAGCCAAGGCTCTGTGTTGAAGACCGTACTTTGACCTATAATGGTTTACTTTTATAAATTTTGACTTGGATGGAGAGTTGTCTCATTGGCACTCATACCACATCTTCTTATATTTATGAACAGGGGCAATTGTATATCTTATCTTATAATCACTGGCTCTGTTAGATTAAATCTTAACAATTTACCTAATTGGTTGCTCAGATATACTTTCTACTGATTCACTGGTTAACCAGTATTAAAGTTTAAGTTCATAGACAAGGTTTGGTTAACTGCATTAAAAGTTGATGTTCAAAGACAATGTTCACAGTACTTTAGGGATACATAGTTCTATGATTATGTAGTGAAGTTTATCCTGACATCCTTTCTTAAATCATTCTGTATTGTTCATGTCTGCATGTTACTGGTAGGACCAATGCACAGTAAAGTTGCACAAAGCATGAATCAACATTTAGTTTGAAATATGGCCAACCCTTAAATATGGATGATTGACACTTTTACATTTACATCAACACACTATTTAGTTAAAGTGAAATAATAAACAATAAATTTTAAACTTTGAATAGCATACAGTTGTTCAATATATATTTATTTTACACACATATGCTTGGTAAATTCTGTTAAGTGTCTCATTGACATTTACTGTGAATCTTTTTCTTCATATTCAATGATTTTAAACATATATTATTACCCTGCTTCTTACAACACATAACAGAAAAAATCAAAATCCAATACTGATTGACCATTTTATTTAAACATAAACATAGATAGCTACAAATTAGACACAATCATATCTTCACTTTAAGTGTATAAATATACATTATGTTGGTCCAGCCAACAGAAAAGAATTTCATTAAGTGGATTTCCTATTAAATTAAAATACATCTATCATAAAGTCAACTGATAATTAAGCATCAAGACTTTTACCTATATTTGTATGTATAATTCTTTTAAATGACCTGTATATTCAGTAATAATATTGGATTAAGCAATTTTTAATTAATTAAGGTGTAAATTCCAACACAGAAAAACTAGAAATGTTGAAAAATTGAACTTCATTTTTAAATAGTTTTAAAAATTTCCAAATTTTCAAGGTTTTTACTTTAAAGCAATTTTAAGCAGAAATATGCTAAAAGCATTAGTTTTTTTTTTCTTGTTTGATTTTCAGTTCTAATAATATTTCACCTTTTGTCATGTAAAAGCTGCCATGAAGTACTTATTCTATATTTCTATAATCACTAATTCATAGTTATTCTCATAAACAATTAAGGCTTATGCATAAGAAGAACTCAATGAACAGGAAAAAGTAAATAAATTGGATTACTTTTCTAGTTTTCAAAGGGTATGAATAATAATAACTCATAACTCATAGTCATCATATTTCTTTAAATCAAACTTAAACTGTATTTTTTTTTTAATTTATAGTGCTTTTGCTCAAGAGAAAACAACAATGGTTTTCACGACTTCATCTGAAATTACTTATTTTGTAGAAAACATACAAAAAGAAGACTACAGGTACATTTTCGATAGAGGTGTAAGAAAATAAACATGTATAACACTAAAACAATCATATTTGATTCAATGTATAAAGCTACACAACATTTTGCATAAATAGCAATTCATAAATTCTCATTAAAATTTGGAAACTTTTACGTAAAATTATCTAAAACATAATGATCAGTAACATTATTATGTTTAAAAATAATGATAATTACCAAAAAAGCAGTTCACACATTTTCATAAACGTTTCACATAAAATTATCTAAAACATTACCAGTATCATTATTATGCTTAAAAATTTACATATATACACAGAACAAAATTAAAAAAACAATCATACTGTTGATTTTCTTTATCTAACGGTTTAAATTTCATAAAATATAAGTAAAAGCATCATCTACCTTTAACATGTAAAAATTGGCATATCTGACCAGGAGATGTAATAAAATTAATAAAACTATAGTCAAAATGGTCAACAAATAACTTCAGAACAGCAAAAGTGACACCACCCAAATCCGAACTTGATCTGTCTTTTTTGGTAATAAGCATTTGAGACAACTAATGTAAGTGTGTGGAAATGGCAAATTTAGCAATTTTTCCATTTATAGAGGGACATAACTCTAGAACATTGAAAGTGACGCCACCCATATTCAAATTTGATCTGAGTTTGGTGGTAATAAGCATTGTGTATAAGTTTCATAACATTTGGTTGAGGCAACATAAAGTTGGATTGCAGAAACTGCAAATTTGCCAATTTTTCCATTTATAAATGAACATAACTCAAGAACGATGAAAGTGACGCTTCCCAAATCCAAACTTGATCAGTGTTTGGTGATAATAAACATTGTGTTGAGGCAAACTAAAGTTGAAGAAAGAAAACTAATTTTGGTACGTACCGATGACAAGGGTAAAACTTATTGCTAAATCATGAAACGTAGAGTGTCTTATTAAATTCAAAGGTTTTATTATGCTACAGTACACTTGCTTGACATTTCAAAATATTTGGGACACAATATAACAATCTTTTTATCTACTGTAAACCAACTTATTTTCATGCATCTCTTTTTTGCGTTTAGCTTTTCATGGCAAATTTTTGTTGCAGTTTATTTTCACAGTTTTTACAACTTTGTTGGTGTATTCATCTGAGATAAGATCAAAGCTTGATAGATTGAAGACAATGTGCAAATCACTAAATTAGTTGGTTTACAGTTAGACCAAATCTTTTTACATATGGAGAATTTTAAATAAACTTCTGTGATAGACATATAGAAAATATCTTTTTAGTTTTATATAATTGCTCTTTTCTAGAAGTTAATGAAAGAGGTTGGACTGAAGTATGTATTTATTAACCAATATATTTTTCCTATAAAACAGGAAATTTCAATATGATGGAATGTGTTTTTAAATTAATATCATGATTTCATCAGAGATTATTCTTGATAACTATCAAATGGATGGTAAATGTAAAAACAAGATGTTTTGAAAAATGAGGGTCAAAATACTTTCTCACTCTTGTATTTTTTGGGTTCTGATATGTTGTTTGGTTGCTGTCTTTAACATCTGTACATAAGAAAGTAGTTTCTAAATTCAAACAATTAATTGACATGTCAAAAAGTGTTTAAAAAGGTTTGTTTTGCATTTTTGCTTTCACAATCATAACTTGTGAGTTTGCAACTATGTTTAGGAATTGTCTAAAGCTCTCTAGCTGAACCGTATCATATAATTCAAAACATTTCTTAACATGACATTCAAACAGTTTCTATAGTTTTGTTAGAAAATAAATACTACTAGAGGGTTTTTAACGACCTTGACTATACATGAGGGTCTCCAATGGTCGGTGAGAAATTAAATATCACAGTTAGTTTCTTGCATAGAAGATCAATAAATCAAAAATTAGCAAAATCCAAATCACTACACATTAAAACATACACATGATTCAGAATTAAAAAACATAAATAGTTAAACATTCATACTGACAATTATGAAATAACAAAGCTATAATAAAAAAAAGTATACTGAAAATTCATCAGTTATGATCAGTATAACTGATTATCATGATTTAGGCAAAAATTTTCTACCAAGATTGATTGATTGATTGATTGGTGTTTAATGCCACTTTCAACACTATTCTGCTATTTTTTGGTGGTCAGTTTTTATTGGTGGAGGAAGCCGGAGTTCCCAAAGTTTTCTACCAAGAATTAAACCCCTAGTACTCAACCTCAATTCTGCATAGACAGTAAAATAATTAGATATAAAAATTACAATGCAAAATTGTACATGATATGAATAATTGCAAACTGTCTTTTTTTAATACATATTTACAAATGTGAATCAGTAAAAAATTGTTTCCCTTGTATAAAACCTGGAAAGCTATTTTTTATTTACATGATAAAATGCAATAACCTTTAATAAATGATATTATTTTATAAATATTGTATAATACTATCCCATGTAATTTAACTTTTATTCTTAATTTTAAAGACTCAAATCAATTACCATTAACTGTAGTCTTAAAATTTCTGAACATTTCTTAAAATTTACTATTCTTGAGTGATCGGAAAAATTATATTTATTTTATCAAAGGAAGTAATTGTTAAATTTTTACCATTGTTTGTAAACCGGACAGCTTGTGGCTACTCATATAACTATTCATTTGATTAAATTTTGTCATTTTTAACCAAATCATGGATCAAAATTAAAGATTGCTTGAAAAAAAACTTTTATCTAAATACCATAAGGATTTCATCAATGAAGGACATAGAGAGAGAACAACTGGAAATGGTTTATGGCTAATTTGCAGGGACTAATTTGGGAAAGAATGGACGGACATTTGAATGAAAGGATAAAAATCTTCAAAAGAAAAGTATAACAACAGTTCAACAGTCTGTTTAAATTATGATTGATTATGTACAATAAAATGACTTTAAAACAGTATATCATATACAAATAAACAACAGATCTCACCACACTTCATTAACATTGAACAATGGTGTAAATAGATTTCAATGTTTTGAATAGAAAGATTTGGATTTCAAGGATTGTAAGTGAAGCACATAAAATATATATATATATACATAAACAATACACAGCAGTTAAACTATTATACTACATAAAGAAAACAATAAAGTTCACGCATAAAAAAAAAGAAATATTTAAAACAAAACAGAAATAAATTATATTATATATTTTTTTAAAACATGTTAAAACCAATCAAATTGTCATTGGAATCAGATTGATAAATTTTTGGATAGTTGTATTTGCAAATATATTTTTATCATTTCAGAAAGTAATATCTCATTCTAAAATGAATCTAATACTACAAACATTGCAGATAAATATCATTAACCTGTATAGTTGCAAAGGAAATTATATTTTGGAAAAACTTTACCTGAAAACTTAAATGTGAAACTAAGATAAAGCAATATAACATAATTCAGACAAGACATATTATCCTTACAGCCAATCTACATACAAAATATTTTTGACCTATCATGTATCATGACTGAGGAAAAGATTTAATCCTGAAACGTTACACGACCACTAGAGCTTGGAAAAGAGGTCTAAATAAGGTGACAATGACTGAGTGACAAGGTTTAATCATCAACTAGAGCTTGGAAAAGAGGTCTTAGTAAGGTGACAATGACTGAGTGACAATGTCTAATCATCAACCACCTTCATTCAAAAATAGATTAATGTGGATATGAAAAAACTGTTTCCAAATCAGGCCTAAGTTTCTGGTTCATTTAAGCCCCTTCTACCTTTATTCTCTGAAACCAAAAACAGCTATCTTAAATCTCATTTTTACTTGTATGAAAGAACTTTTTAATGATTTTAAAGAATAAAACTCATAAGAATTAAACATAAAGTAAAAAGGGAGGGTGAAATATTAGAATGTCTTCGTGCAAAAAGGTTCATGCATATTTACCACACGTTTCCTTCCAATCTGGTTTAATTCAAATATATCACCTCTAACAGTGCTGTAACCATTACTTAACCAAATCCTTAGTTATAAATCTGTGACATTTCATTATGCTTTTTAAAAAAAATCAACTTGGATGTCCCATTGCATTATTCATATTATATAAACAAAAGAGAAAATTACTTAGATAGAATTTAATTTAAGGATGTTTGCTCCTATTGTTTTTGAATTTTTGTCAGATATTCAGAATCCTCTAGTTTTATCCATGTAGTTCTAATAAAAAATTTGCCCGCATATCCCTACTTTTCTTTTTATTATTTTATTACATATAGTTTAAAAAGCCATATTTAAAAATCTTATAAAATCCTTGTTATTTTTTCATAGTTTTTGAAAGAAAAAAGGTGCCAATGTTAAACGCATGAAAAATCTAGAGAGAATCACTTCCCACCAAATTTTCAAGTGCTGATATCTCGAAAACAAGCACATAGACCCTTCAATTTTTTCCTTAAGTATTTTAGCTGATAAACATCCTTCCTGTTTTAACCCCTTCCATAATAACTATTGCCCTTTGACCCCATGTATTGAGTCCACTTCTGTCTACTGAGTGGTAAAATTTCAATGTCAGCAATATCTTTATCCTTTCGGTTAGGGGTAACAGTAGACTTAATTGAGGCAGGAACCCTGTGATCCTTGTCTGCAATGATGTTACTCAAGGTGACCTTTTTAACATATGTCCAATATACAGAACTTCTATAACTGTACCCACTGTCAACTGTTTCTCCAGTCATACCAACTAACGATACAATGTCAAGTAAACCATCTCCATCAACATCTCCTACGGCAGCTATATAATAAAAAAACTTATATATTTCAAAATATCTTACTAGGTACTTGGCAAGCAACAATTAATATATACTTTTTAAGTAAAAATCCATACATTAAAATAAATTCAAAAATGTCAATTTTATTGTTTGAGGAAACCTAAGTATACCTTCGGTAGACTTTAAATATTCAATAATGAACTGACAAAATCAATACAACAAAATACCGAGAGAAAACTGAAATTCTGAAGGACTTAAAAATATCTGAGGTCAGTAAGATGGTATGATTTTGATACCTTGAGAATAAACAAAATTAATAAGGGTGCCATTGTGGAGCAAGAACTGTTTTCCCTTCCAGAACACCTGTGTTCACCCCTGGTTTTTGCTGTGGTTTGTATTGTTCAATCTTTAGTTTCTATAATAAAAAAAACCAAAGTTCTCTTTTGTCAAATTTGTTTGTCTTTTCGTCATTTTGATTTTTTTGTCATGACATTTTTCTTCAACTTTTGAGGTTTCTTTATGCCTCTTACACATTATTCTAACGTACCTGTAGTTCTGTCATCTGGCATGATTACTATACACATAGTAATATTAGCTGTATCTGTTTCATTAGCATGTCTTGGAACAGCTTTAAAAAAAACACTTGAAATGAATTTTTAAACCAGCTTCTGAATTTTCATAAAGGAGTCACATTTTGAAATATCCATTTTTTCCTATGTGAAATATTTAAATTTTCTTTATACATTTACAAGAAGATAAAAAGAATAAACTTTTACAAAGAGATATGTCTCGCCTTTTTGTTATTTTGATAGTAAAAATAATAAAAGATAAACTGTAATCACAGAGATATGTCTCGCCTTTTTGTAATTTTGATAATGCAAATGTTGAAATTAAAATAGCAATACTTTAACATGTAAGTTATGCAAGTATTCAAAGTCAACAAACCATGACTGAAGGTACATGGCTAAACAATCTCCATGGAAATGAGATGTGCCAATGATAATACAACTGCATACCAAATACCATTGACTTATCATAAGTTGTTCCCTTTAAATAAACCTAAACACAAAAATTAACTTGTAAACTATGTAAAAGTTTCAAAGTCAATGAACCATGATAAGGGGTTGGGGCTATATAATCTCCATGTAAACAAGACTTGCAAATGCCAATACATTTGCATACCAAATATCATTGACTTAACATAAGTGGTTCATCTTAAACTATTCTAATCACAAACTAATACATGTAAACTAAGCAAAAGTTTCAAAGTCAATAGACCATGACTGAGGGGGCAGGGCCAAATATTCTCCATGGAAATGAGATGTGCTTATGCTTGTACAACTGCATACCAAATAACATTGACCTACCACTAGTGGTTCCCCATAAACTGACCTAATCACAAACTAATACATGTAAACTAAGCAAAAGATTCAAAGTCAATAGACCATATCTGAGGGGGCCGGGCCAAATAATCTCCATGGAAATGAGATATGCCAATGTTTATACAACTGCATACCAAATATAATTGACCTACCACTAGTGGTTCCCCATAAACTGACCTAATCACAAACTAATACATGTAAACTAAGCAAAAGTTTCAAAGTCAACAGACCATGACTGAGGGGGCAGGGCCAAATAATCTCCATGGAAATGAGACGTGCCAATGCAAATACAACTGCATATCAAATATCATTGATCTACCACTAGTGGTTCACCACAAACATGACCTAATCACAAACTAATACATTGTTGATGCCAACAACGCTGGAAACAGCATACCTATGTCTCGATTTTTGACTCCGTCATGGCGAGACAAAAAACAGGTTGTACTAGAATGCTGAAATTCTAATACTAGTAGCTAATAAAATGCTTCGCTCGGCGCAGCTTGATACGACCGCAGAGGTCGAACCCTGAACAGTTGGGGCAATTATGGACACAACACTCAAGCTTCATACAGCTCTGAATTTGGATTGTGATTAAATATTTGACACAGCATAGGTTTCTGACACAGAAAGAATGTGGTCTAAGAACTTGAATTTTTTTAATTTACCTATTATGGTCCAATGTCTAAAATCAAAATACATGGTTAGATTCAGCATATCAAAGAACCCCATATATTCAATTTTTGTTGAAATCAAACAAAGTTAATTTTGGACCCCAACTTGGACAAACTTGAAAACTGGGCCCATAATCAAAAATCTAAACACATGTTTAGATTCAGCATATCAGAGAACCCCAAGAATTCAATTTTTGTTAAAATCAAACTAAGTTTAATTTTGGACCCTTGGGACCTTAATGTAGACCAATTTAAAAAACGGGACCCAAAATTAAAAATCTAAATACACGGTTAGATTTGGAATATCAAAGAACCCCAATAATTCAATTTTTGTTAAAATCAAACTAAGTTTAATTTTGGACCCTTTGGACCTTAATGTAGACCAATTTAAAAAACGGGACCCAAAATTAAAAATCTAAATACACGGTTAGATTTGGAATATCAAAGAACCCCAATAATTCAATTTTTGATGAAATCAAACAAAGTTTAATTTTGGACCCTTTTGACCTCAATATGAACCAATTTGATAGCGGGGCCCACAAATAAAAAATCTAAATACATGGTTAGATTCAGCATATCAAAGAACCCCATGTATTCAATTTTTGTTGAAATCAAAAAAAGTTTAATTTTGGACCCCAACTTAGACCAACTTGAAAACTGGGCCCATAATCAAAAATCTAAACACATGTTTAGATTCAGCATATCAAAGAACCCCAAGAATTTAATTTTTGTTAAAATCAAACTAAGTTTTATTTTGGACCCTTTGGACCTTAATATGAACCAATTTGATAGCTGGCCCACAAATAAAAAATCTAAATACATGGTTAGATTCAGCATATCAAAGAACCCCATATATTCAATTTTTGTTGAAATCAAACAAAGTTTAATTTTGGACCCAAATTTAGACCAACTTGAAAACTGGGCCAAAAATCAAAAATCTAAACACATGTTTAGATTCAGCATATCAAAGAACCCCAAGAATTCAATTTTTGTTATAATCAAACTAAGTTTAATTTTGGACCCTTTGGACCTTAATGTAGACCAATTTAAAAAACAGGACCCAAAATTAAAAATCTAAATACACGGTTAGATTTGGCATATCAAAGAACCCCAATAATTCAATTTTTGATGAAATCAAACGAAGTTTAATTTTGGAAACCTTTTGACCTCAATATGAACCAATTTGATAGCTGGGTCCACATATAAAAAATCTAAATACATGGTTAGATTCAGCATATCAAAGAACCCCATATATTCAATTTTTGTTGAAATCAAACAAAGTTTAATTTTGGACCCCAATTTGGACCAACTTGAAAACTGGGCCAAAAATCAAAAATCTAAATACATGTTTAGATTCAGCATATCAAAGAACCCCATATATTCAATTTTTGTTAAAATCAAAGTTTAATTTTGGACCCTTTGGACCTTAATGTAGACCAATTTGAAAACTGGACCCAAAATTAAAATTCTAAATACACGGTTAGATTCGGCATAACAAATAAATAAATGTGGTCAAAGATTTTACAAATCTAATGCGCCATACTGTGCAATTAAAGATTGCTTCTTGAAATTTTTCAATATTTGAAATTTAAAAAAAAAAATAATATTTGAAGAATAATTCTTTTTAATTTCTGAAATCTGAAATGAGAAAAAGTTGACCCCCCACAATTTCTTTTTACTCCCCCCCCTTTTTTCCCCCAAAAAATTCTTTCCCTCAAGATATGGTCATAATCTCAATTCAAATTTCCAATGGAGTTTGCAACCATAATTACCCATTTAAATTTACCATAGTGCTAACTTAATCTATTTTATAATAGAATTTAAAATATAGTGTCAAATCTTTCATATGGATTTTTTTGTAAAACAAAAAGATGCAACATTTGCAGATATTTTTACTGGTCTTCCTTTATAAATATGCATTTCTTTAAACATAATTTAAAAGCAGTGTAAGGGAAGTAACCAAAACGTTGTATTTGGATTACCTCCCTTACACTGTTTTTAAATTATCTTAATTGTTCATTAACCATTACTTTATACATAATTTAAAAGCAGTGTAAGGGAGATAATTTCAATGATGTATTTGATTTATCTCCCTTACACTGCTTTAAATTATGTTTTGTACTAAAGTATTTGTCCATTAACCAGGATAACCTTGTTTTTCCCCCTTTTTTGCCCCTAATTCCTAAACGGTTTGAGCCATAACCCCCCAAAGCAAATCCTAACCATCACTTTGTGGTATGGAAACTTGTAGTATAATTTCAGAGGGATCCATACACCGTTTCACAGTCATTGTCATGGAAACTAGAAAATGCTTATTTTTGGCCCCTTTTTGGCCCCTATTTCCTTAACTGTTGGTACAATAACCCCTAAAATCAATCCCCACCTTCCTTTTGTGGTATTGAACCTTATGGTAAAATTTCAAAGAGATCCATTCACTTAAACTAAAGTTAGAGTGCGAAAACCAATGTGTCTTCGGACGCCGACGCCGGACGACGACTACGACGCCAACGTCATACCAATATACGACCACAAAATTTTTTGCGGTCGTATAAAAAGGGGTAAAGAACTTACAATAGTTATAGTTTTCAGTTCCTGTTTCTATAATCCTAACTGGATTGTTTATTGTTGTTCTGTCCATCAGTAATATTTCACTCTTGATATCCACAACATCTGAACAAAGGAAGTGTCGACTGCTGTAATCACTGAATACTTCTTTCACTAAAAAAAAATTCTTTCATGTCAGAGTTAATTTCATAAATAAACTACTGCGGTTTCATTATATATTTTTCTTGGGTACCAACTTTCATGGATTGAAGAAAAATGGTACATTTGTGTATTTTCAAGGAAATCTGATTTTTTAGGTGCTAAAATCTGCATACAAACCTAATTCTGTCCATTACGGTTACAGATGTTAGGAAATTTTTCATACAATTTCAATCATTTATTGCAGCTTGATATTCAGGTTTCATGTTCCATGTTACTTGAGAGGATAGCTGTCATTTCCAAATCAATGTGGTTTGACAATGAAAATTAATGTTATTTTTCATAAACAACTTTGTAATTTAAATTTTTTTTTTAATCTGTTTACATTGATTTAAAAATTAGTAAAATTTATGGCCTGAGACACAAGTTATTGTTACATGATCTCTTTAAGTTAAACATTGGCTTTTTAAAACTAATGGTTAATAATTTGTCCAGGAATTAAATTTTTACACCACTAACATCTAATAATCATGTCACAGTAAAATTAAAATGCACTTTATGAACGAAAACATATTTTATGCTTACACGTATCTTCATTTAAATAGTGATGTTCTTCTTGGGCTCTGTGTTGCTCTTCTTCTGGTCCATGTCTTTTGATTCTCTGTAAGTAAAGTTGAATAAACAAGTTCAAACTCAAAGTAAACCAAGTAATGCATCTTTCACTAACCTACATTGAAGTTTAGTTTTAAAGTCAGTTTTCATAAAAACTACCGTCAATAAATTTCTACCCAATTTTACATGGAGAGCTAATACTAAAGACACACCATGTTATGTATCAGATAAAATAATTGTTTATTTTCCTGTTTTTTTTTTTATAATGAATGAGCATAGATTTTCACTAGTATGGCTTTATTCCAACGGTGCAATCAGCAGTATTATATTCCTCTATTCTTAAGTAGGTGTTTTTTTTTAATATTTTTGCAGTCACATACATATGAATAACAGTTTTGGTGTAAACAGCCATATTTCAGCAAATCAACAACGTTAGTTCAATATTAAAGGATAGATTGACTAATTGCTGTTTGCTTAACATCTGTTGGCAAATCCTTCGTGCATATTCAGCAAGTTCACATCTAATATGATAGGTAGTTTTTGCAAAAGGTGAAGGGAGTGACTTATGAACCGCCAATAGAAAATGAGGGTATATTAGATAGGGGCAGAAATTTGACCTTGCTACAGGCCACCTTATTTGGACTCTTCATAGAGTTGTTTCACAGGTTCTGTGACAAACAGAAAGGTTCGCACTCATCCTACACAAGGCAGTAGAATTAATAGTCCAATTCCAACTGGACATTGCTGTTCACTTATACATCCCACATAGCCAAAAAGACACCAAATTTTAGTAAGGATTTAAAAGTCAGACCACAGAACTCCAGAATGGATAAAATACATGATCCAAATTTCTATATCACAGTTAACCCTTGGGATCAATATAAAAATATAGACATGTTGGGGTCACAAAACAGTCAACAAAGGAGAAAATGCACCGGTGTAATACCACCAAATCATAGTACGTCACATCCGCTTGCATATGAAAAAGGGTCGAAAAAAAATATTCCCTTGAATTTGACAGTTGTAGGAAATTTATCCTACATTTCATTGCAGTAAATAAATTTGGAGTTATAAACATATATCTTAGGTGTTTCAAAGCACCATTCTTTTTTTATTTGATGTTTCTATAGAATATTTTGGAAACTTGAGGTTACATGGTTACTAAAGCTTGTAAACAGGGAAAAAAAAGGGGTGAAAACTTGATTGGTTAACTTCCAGCGATGGTTATTATCTTATTTGCAATGAAATGTTATGTGAAATTTCGACTGTAGTACTGGAAAGGAGGAAACTTTACTCATGCCAAGTATTTCTTTATTTGAAACAAAGATAAATTCTGCACATTTTTTTGAAAAGTACTAATTTAACAAAGACTAATAGGGGAAAAACAATGGGGGGTATTACGCCTAAACTATATGGCAAGCTCTGATCATCAATTCCATGCATTTAATATTCATGCATGCAGATATATGTTGAAAAATGCAAAAATATTAGTATGTTAAATACATTACCCCTGGTCGATCTTTAGGAGGATTTCCTATGGGACCATGGTCCCCATTACCAAGTACATGGCTTCCTGACTAAAATGAGAATAAAAATTTAATTCTTTTTTTTTTATAAGAAACCTAAATGATTTATATATAAGAAATGAACATTTTGCCTGATAAAAATATGTGGAAAAGCTTTAACTTATATCTAAATGCAAATTTTGTTCATGTTTTTGGCATACCCCTCAAAAAGACCAAATGAGAAAATATTTATCATGTAAAAAAGACATGTTTCCGGAAGCCAAACATATTAAACTTTTGAAATCACAAAAACCAAAAGAGCCTTTACAGTCAAAATCACCAAGGGTTTTACTTCATTCATTTGGATCATGTAAAAGCCAAAGCACTGGCCTGATGGTAAGCAGTAGTTACACATCTTTTGATAATTTGTACTGTATAATTTTTTGAATCAAATAACATACCTTAGGATGTGCATCCTGGATATGAGCTGGAGGTGGTCCCTGTAAATATATAAAAGTAGACATTCTAAATTATTTCATACAACTTATATTTATGGATCCATCCATTTTTCAATCAACATTTTTCTATTTCTAAACACAAATGTTAAACACTGCAATCACACTTTATCGTGTGTATTAATTGTATTGATAGTATAAACACTTGTGACATTCAGTCACTGACTGCATAAAGTGCTGTTGTCAGGTTAACAATATGTGTCTGATGTCAGAATGCAGCTTAATCAAAATTTTATGTTTTATATGTTAAAAAAAATCTTATTTTCACCAAAATACTTGCTTCTAGTTTGAAGTGTTTGTGGAAATGAAGAGAAAAAAAAAAGACATTAAAAGAAATTTTAATAGTTTTATAAATTTTGTTTTACTGTTTATCAAAAAGATGTGAAAACTTTCACTTAAAGATCTCATTCTTATATAATGTCAATTTAATAGTAACCTTATCTATTCTATCCAAACCATGTAAACCACTGTCCCTGTCCATGGTTATATGGCTCCCTCTACCCCGTACTTTGAAGATAAACAAATCTCTGTTTTCCTGTGTTGTATGTAATGTTAGATCAGAAGACATCTGGTATTGTGAACTGTTCATAGTCAGTATTCTAGATCCATCTCTACCATCTATGATATAATTCTGAAAACAAAACAATTCAGTAAAACTATTATTGTCATAAAATCAAGCTCAACAAATTTATCTTAATAGGTATTTGCCCTCACCTGAAAACAAGAATAAAAGGATTGATTTTCTCCCAATAAATGGCTACATGAAATTTTCATTTTAACCTGTGACATAATTATTCTGACATTTCCATTACACTTATCAGATGATCATTTTTATTACTGTACTTTGAATTACTGAACTAACTTTTGAATGTTTTATTTTATTTAATTGTATCTATGATATTTACAATATAAACAAATCACTAGAAAACATTTCCTTCATGCTGTTTTCTGACACAAACTTTTATCAGCCTTTGTAAAATGAAGGTGGGTTGAAGAAAGAAAAAGCGTCCCTGAAATACCATATATGAATAGTGGTGGATTTTAGAGCGGTCATTGCAGGGAACATGTGCTCAAGGAGGAATTTGAAAAACAGAAAAAAAATGTAACGGAAATGAAATTTTCTAAATGCTGAGGTGGGATTGGGGTGGTCTAGTGCTAAAGGTAATAATCAAAACCATATCCAGAAATGCATATAGTCTAGAAGACTTACATATTCACCAACAGGCAGGACTTTAAAGATATTCTTGACTGAAAAGAACAGTGTTCTTTAAGAAGAAATTGCCTGGTGTTTACATTTTACCTTGAAAGTTTTATTAAATGATATCATGTTGTTTATGCAACATTCATATGAATAAAAGAACAGAGTTCCAATGTCCCCCGCATTGCACTTATTTTATATTTCCAAGGGGCATAACTCTTTTTTAAAAAAGTCGATCGTCCACCATTATAGAACTTGTCGGAGATATTGCTGATATTACATATAGTAAAAGTTTTATAAAAATCTGGCAAGAATTTTACCAGTGAGAGCACTAACAAGACCGGACAGACAGACAGACGGACAGACGCCCGGTATCTCAATGTCCCACGCAACGCCTTACACCGGGGACAAAAAAAGTCATCAATAACATCTGTAGAATTTCATTCTTATAAAGTTTCATAGAGGAATAATACCCCTTTTTTTTTTAACTAGTATTGCGTTTATTTTGAAAGACATAAATCTTTGTTTTACTGTTTGAAAATGTCCAATTTCAACATGTCCATAGGGAAAATAAATTTGTTTAAACTGTTAAACAAATTACAAAAGAAATAATAACATTGTTATAATTGTTGACTCTCAAATCAAAATATACTTTTGAAATTGGTGAGAAGTAAGTGAGTGAGCTATTATTTAGTAATTATTTCTTTAATTACCTGTGTAAGTGTGTACTGAGGCCAAGCACCCACACTCCAATGAACTATAAAATCTAATGTGTCATCATCATTAAAATATCCAGGGGAAGGTGATCTGAAAATTAAATAAGAGAATAACATATTCAATCAAATTTAGCAGAAAGCAAAACTTCTGTGAGTAATGCTAAAGCAGTGCATTGTCCACTGATGGCATCAACATTATTTATACAAATTAAAGCATTCATTTTCATGTTCTTCAGTGGGAAATCTAGTGTCAAAAAATTACCTCCCCTTCAAACACTGAAAACTTCATCTTTACTATGCTATCAATTATAAATTTACAAAAAAACGTTCTGGTAAATAGCACCAAAACAAATTAGATGAAGTAAATATATTTACATTAAATATATATAAAGAATATTTATAGATTATGGATGGTTTTTCAAACGAGATGGTGTTTCTCAGCTACAATCTCATTGAAGGGCAATAGCCCTGAGTTCAGATGTGGCCGAGGAAGATCCTTGAGTTAGAAAGATCATTGATAATCTGTTTATCGCTATTTTGCCTATGACGACATTGATGTTTACATTGACAATGGCACGTAAGCCCTTAGTTTCTGATGATAATTTTCTATCTCAAGCGAGTAGCATGATATGAAAAATTATCACAAAAAAGATCAATGAAAAGTACACAAAACAGAGATAATTTATTTTAACGTGGCTTCCCATGTTTCAACACATTTTCACTTATCAGAGCTTATCTACAGTATCATTGTCTTTACTTAGAAAAAGTAACAAGACTTAATTGTAACAGTCTTTAATAATTACGTATAAGACTCCATCCCAGGAAAGTGAGCTGACCATGTCTCAGTGAGATCTTGTCCATCAAGGAGAGTTATTGTACCATCATAACCTGATGCTAAAACATCATCTGCGCCATCTTTGTTCACATCTACAATGACGGGAGGGACCATGTATCCTTTGTTTTTACCTCTGAAATATATAAAAATACACAAATTCATTTCCTGTACTGTAGTTAAAGAGTTTGTGATGAAACAATCCATAATAGTACATGAACTAAATGGCATTTTATACTAATGAAATTATTACCTAATTCAACATTTAATTTATTTTGAGTAAAAGTGTATTTATTTGTGAATAGCAACAGATGGTACGGTTATCTTAAGAATCTTCTCATTCAAAGTTAAATCTATTTACTTTAGGGTTTTGATAGAGGTTCTAGATGTTATGGCAATCATAAATAAGTGACAAAAGTACATATAAGCTGTTACAAGTAAAATTGTTTTCTTTAAAGAACTTTTTCTTTGAATTCAATTATCAGTCACTTGACATCTTATTAACAATTTCTGTGTATTATGAAAGAAATTGGAAAACTAGATGCTCCAAGGAGCCTGTGTCACTCACCTGATATTTTTATTTACAATTGATGCATGAAATAATGCAACTGTTATACATTTGCTTTAGTTTCAGAGATATAAGTCAAAAACTGCATTTTTTCCCCCCTAAGTTCTATTTTTAGCCATGTCTGACATGTTGGTTGGCAGGCAGGGTCATCGGACACATTTTTTAAACTAGATACCCTAGTGATGATTGTGGTCAAGTTTGGTTAAATTTGTCTCAGTTGTTTCAGGAGAGCAGATTTTAATAAAAGATTACAAAAATTTACGAATAATTGTTAAATTTGACTTTAAAGGGCAAAAACTCCTTATGGGGTCAATTGACCATATTGGTCATGTTGAATTATTTGTAGATCTTACTTTGCTGAACATTATTGCTGTTTACAGTTTATCTCTATCTATAATAATATTCAAGATAACAAAAAACTGCAAAATTTCCTTAAAATTACTAATTATGGGGCAGCAACCCAACAACGGCTTGTCTGATTCGTCTGAAAATTTCAGATAGATCTTAACCTGATGAACATTTTTACCCCCCATGTCAGATTTGCTCTAAATGCTTTAGTTTCAGAGATATAAGCCAAAAACTGCGTTTTACCCCTATGTTCTATTTTTAGCCATGTCGGCCATCTTGGTAGGCAGGCGTGGTCATCGGACACATTTTTTATACTAGATACCCTAGTGATGATTGTGGCCGAGTTTGGTTAAATTTGAAGGTTTTTGTAAAAGTTAACAGACGACAACGGAAGGACGACGGACGACAGACGACGGACGCCAAGTGATGAGAAAAACTCACTTGGCCCTTTGGGCCAGGTGAGCTAAAAATAAGTCCACTAAGTCTGACCTCACAACTGTAATTAATCCAGTGACATCATCTTTTATATGACTTTGCCAGTAGTCATAACTGCTAGATTTATTTATTCCTGGGACTACAGAATTATGGTCTGTATCAGTTACATAATGGTACAAATCTGGTACAGATATCATAAGAAGATCTCCTGAAATTAGAAATATTTTAATAACTTCTTCAATGAAGACAAAGTAATGTTCTGCTATGTAGGACGCGGGTCTGTCTGAGACATATACACAAGTGTCTGTTCTGCTATGTTATGACACAAGTCTGTCTGAGACATATACACAAGTGTCTGTTCTGCTATGTAGGACATGAGTCTGTCTGAGACATATACACAAGTGTCTGTTCTGCTATGTAGGACATGAGTCTGTCTGAGACATATACATAGATGTCGTTTCTGCTATGTAGGACACAGGTCTGTCTGAGAAATATACAAAGATGTCGTTTCTGCTATGTAGGACATGAGTCTGTCTGAGACATATACATAGATGTCGTTTCTGCTATGTAGGACACGAGTCTGTCTGAGACATATACACAAGTGTCTGTTCTGCTATGTAGGACACGAGTCTGAGACATATACACAAGTGTCTGTTCTGCTATGTAGGACATGAGTCTTTCTGAGACATATACACAAGTGTCTGTTCTGCTATGTAGGACATGAGTCTGTCTGAGACATATACACAAGTGTCTGTTCTGCTATGTAGGACATGAGTCTGTCTGAGACATATACACAAGTGTCTGTTCTGCTATGTAGGACATGAGTCTGTCTGAGACATATACATAGATGTCGTTTCTGCTATGTAGGACATGGGTCTGTCTGAGACATATACAAAAGTGGCTGTTCTGCTATGTAGGACATGAGTCTGTCTGAGACATATACACAAGTGTCTGTTCTGCTATGTAGGACATGAGTCTGTCTGAGACATATACACAAGTGTCTGTTCTGCTATGTAGGACATGAGTCTGTCTGAGACATATACACAAGTGTCTGTTCTGCTATGTAGGACATGAGTCTGTCTGAGACATATACATAGATGTCGTTTCTGCTATGTAGGACACGGGTCTGTCTGAGAAATATACATAGATGTCGTTTCTGCTATGTAGGACATGAGTCTGTCTGAGACTTATACATAGATGTCGTTTCTGCTATGTAGGACACAAGTCTGTCTGAGACATATACACAAGTGTCTGTTCTGCTATGTAGGACATGAGTCTGCCTGAGACATATACATAAGTGTCTGTTCTGCTATGTAGGACACGAGTCTGTCTGAGACATATACATAGATGTCGTTTCTGTTATGTAGGACACAAGTCTGTCTGAGACATATACACAAGTGTCTGTTCTGCTATGTAGGACATGAGTCTGTCTGAGACATATACATAGATGCCGTTTCTGCTATGTAGGATACGAGTCTGTCTGAGACATCTACATAGATGTCTGTTCTGCTATGTAGGAAATGAGTCTGTCTGAGGCATATACATAAGTGTCTGTTCTGCTATGTAGGACATGAGTCTGTCTGAGACATATACATAGATGTCTTTTCTGTTATGTAGGACATGAGTCTGTTTGAGACATATACATAAGTGTCTGTTCTGCTATGTAGGACATGAGTCTGTCTGTCCCAAGTCATGAGACTGTAGTACAGTGGTTGTCGTTGGTTCATGTCTGTCAAGTTTGTTTTTTTTGTAAATTGTTTTGTTATTAATTAGGCAGTTAGTTTTCACGTTTGAATTGTTTCACACTTCATGTCAGGGCCTTTTATGGCCGACTATACAGTATGGGTTTTTCTCATTGTGGAAAACAGTATTGTCCTATTGGTCTGAAGATTACTTGACAGGTAGATCTAAACCTGTTGAACACTTTCACCTATGTCAGTTTTGCTCTTACTGCTTTAGTTTTTGAAATGAAAGCCAAAAACTTCATTTGACCCCTATGTTCTATTTTTAGAAACTGCCACCATGTTTTTGAATGTATCAAATCCCCCAATACAATCTATAAACTAGATACCCTAAGGAACATTCTATTAAAGTTTTTAAGTATTTGGCAAAGTAGTTTGAGAGAAGAAGATTTTTGAAAAAGTGATTGGTCTTTCACAAAAATTTGTAAGGGTTCCGCGGAACCCAGTGTCTCGCCTACTTTTACTGTTAATTGCAGGCTCAACAAATAAGAGGAAAAAAATTAATAAAAATATTCCTCTCTATACTATCTTTTGATTGTAAGTAACTTCTGTCCAAGTTTGGTAAAAATCCAGGATAGTTTATGAATCTAATAAATGTTTTAAAAACTTAAACTGCAGAGTGTATGTAATGTTAACTGGAAGAAAAACTAAGTCCATTTATAAATTAAATACGGAAAAAATGGAATTAAATTTTAACAAAATTTCCTTCTAGATACTAACTTTTAATCATAAACAAGCTTCTGTCCAAGTTTGGTACAAATCCAGGATAGTTTAAGAAAGTTGTTAAAATTTTAAAAACTTTAACCACAGAGTGAATGTAATGTTAACTGGCAGAAAAACTAAGTCCATTTATAAGTAAAATACGGAAAAAATGGAATTTTTTTTTTTACAAAATTTACTCCTGGATACTATCACAAGCTTCTTTCCAAGTATGGTAGAAATCCAGGATAGTTTAAGAAAGTTATTAAAATTTCAAAAACTTTAACCACAGAGTGAATGCAGTGTTTCCTGGCAGAAAAACTAAGTCCATTTATTATATTTTACAAAATTTACTTTTGAATATTATCTTATGATCATAAACAAGCTTCTGTCCAAGTTTGGTAGAAATTTAGGATAGTTTAAGAAAGTTATTAAAATTTCAAGAACTTTAACCACAGAGTGAATATTTGTGGACGCCGCTGACAACGACGACGACGCCAACGGAATGTAGGATCGCTATGTCTCGCTTTTTCAACAAAAGTCGAAGGCTCGACAAAAAATGTAAAAAAAGAAACGTTTTAAGGGCAATAACTCCTCAAGGGGTCAATTGACTATTTTGATCATGTTGACTTATTTGTAGATCTTACTTAGCTGAACATTTATTGCCATTTATACTTTCTCTCTATCTGTTATAATATTAAAGATAATAACCAAAAACAGTAAAATTTAATAACTAGAGGCTCTCAAGAGCCTGTGTCGCTCACCTGATTCTACTTTGGTTTTGGAAATCATGTAAAAATAGATTAAAATCATAACAGATAATGAGTGAGGCCAAATTTGGTTTAATATTGGTTCTGTAATTTAATAAAAAAATCCTGGAGGCCATCTTGAACAGTAAATCGGCAACAAAGTAGCAACACTTCATCAGCACCTCATAAGAAACATTTATGCCATGTTTTGGTTTCATTCCATTCAGTGCACCTCTAGAAGAAGCATTTGTATGTATTTCCCATAGGGTCTTATGTTAAAGGAAGTCCCCCCATTGGCGGCCATCATGGATGAAGGATCAGCTTCAAAGTAACAAAACTTAGTCAGCACCTCATAAGGAACATTCTTGCCATGTTTGGTTTCAATCCATTCAGTATGTGGTTCTCTAAAAGAAGACATTTGTATGTATTGTCTATAGGGTCCTTTGTTAAACATTGTCCCCATCTGGCGGCCATCATGGATGAAGGATCAGCTTCAAAGTAACAACACTTGGTCAGCACCTCAAAAGGAACATGCATGCCATGTTTGGTTTCACTCCATTTAATGGTTCTCTAAAAGAAAACATTTGTATGTATTTCTCATAGGCTCCTATGTTAAACTAAGTCCTCCGCTGGCGGCCATCTTGGATTATGGACAGGCTTCATAGTAACAACACTTGGTCAGCACCTCATAAGGAACATTCATGCCATGTTTGGTTTCATTCCATTCAGTGGTTCTCTAAAAGAAGACATTTGTATGTATTTCCCATAGGCTCCTATGTTAAACTAAGTCTCCCACTGGCGGCCATCTTGGATTATGGATCGGCTTCAAAGTAACAACACTCGGTCAGCACCTCATAAGGAACATTCATGCCATGTTTGGTTTCATTCCATTCAGTGGTTCTCTAAAAGAAGACATTTGTATGTATTTCCCATAGGCTCCTATGTTAAACTAAGTCTCCCACTGGCGGCCATCTTGGATTATGGATCGGCTTCAAAGTAACAACACTCGGTCAGCACCTCATAAGGAACATTCATGCCATGTTTGGTTTCATTCCATTCAGTGGTTCTCTAAAAGAAGACATTTGTATGTATTTCCCATAGGGTCCCATGTTAAACTAAGTCCCCTGCTGGTGGCCATCTTGGATTATGGATCAGCTTCATAGTAACAACACTTGGTCAGCACCTCATAAGGAACATTCATGACATGTTTGGTTTCATTCCATTCAGTGGTTCTCTAAAAGAAGACATTTGTATGTATTTCCCATAGGGTCCCATGTTAAACTAAGTCCCCCACTGGTGGCCATCTTGGATTATGGATTGGCTTCAAAGTAACAACACTCGGTTAGCACCTCATAAGGAACATTCATACCATGTTTGGTTTCATTCCATTCAGTGGTTCTCTAAAAGAAGACATTTGTATGTATTTCCCATAGGCTCCTATGTTAAACTAAGTCCCCCGCTGGCGGCCATCTTGGATGATGGATCCGCTACAAAGTAACAACACTCTGTCAGTACCTCATAAGGAACATTCATGCCATGTTTGGTTTCATTCCATTCAGTGGTTCTCTAGAAGAAGTTCAAAATGTAACAAGTTAACGACGACCATGGACGACGTCGGACGACGGACGCCAAGTGATGAGAAAAGCTCACTTGGCCCTTCGGGCCAGGTGAGCTAAAAATAAAACTATTTCCAACAGTAACCCAACAATGGGTTGTGGAACTCGTCTGAAAATTTCATAACAGATAGATCATGACCCATTTATCACTTTAACTCTCTTTCACTTTTGATCTAACTGCTGTAGTTTTTGAGATACAAGCCAAAAACTGCTTTTGTCCCCTATGATCTATTTTTAGCCATGGCGGCCATGTTTGTACATGGATCAAAACTTCGGATACAATTTATAAACTAGATACCCTAAGGAGCATTGAGTTAAAGTTTGGAAGTATTTGGCACAGTAGTTTCAGAGAAGATGATTTTGAAAAAGTAATAGACTTGCACAAAAAAATGTAAAAAAATAAACGTTTCAAGGGCAATAACTCCTGAAGGAGTCAAATGACTATTTTGATCATTTGACTTATTTGTAGATCTAACTTATCTGAACATTTTTGCTATTTACACTTTCTCTCTATCTATTATAATATTAAAGATAACCAAAAACAGTAAAATTTCATAAAAATAAACTATTTCGGACAGTAACCCTACAATGGGTGGTCCAATTGGTCTGAAAATTTCATAGCAGATAGATCTTGACTTATTCATCACTTTACCTCCATGTCACTTTTGCTCTAACTGCTATAGTTTTTGAGATAAAAGCCAAAAACTGCATTTGACCCCTATGTTCTATTTTTAGCCATGGCGGCCATGTTTGTTAATGGATCAAAACTTCAGATACAATTTATAAACCAGTTACCCTAAGGAACATTCAGTTAAAGTTTAGAAGTATTAGGCCCAGTAGTTTCAGGAGAAGATTTTTAAATGTTAGCAAACATGATGAACAAATTGTGTTAAATTGCCCTTAAAGGGCAATAACTCCTTAAGGGGTCAATTGACAATTTTAGTCATATCAAAACTTTTTTGTAGATCTTACTTTGCTGAACATTTTTGCTGTTTACAGTTTATCTGTATCTTCAATAATATTCAAGATAAAAACTGCAAAATTTCCTTAAAATTACCAATTTAGTGGCAGCAACCCAACAATGGGTTGTTCGATTCATTTGAAAATTTCAGGGCTGATAGATCTAGACCTATTGAACAGTTTTACCCCGTCAGATTTGCTCTAAATGCTTTAGTTTTTGAGATATAAGCCAAAAACTGCATTTGACCCCTATGTTCTCTCTTTAGCCATGGCGGCCATGTTTGTTGATGGATCAAAACTTCAGATACAATTTATAAACTAGATACACTAAGGAACATTCAGTTAAAGTTTGAAGGTATTGGGCCCAGTAGTTTCAGAGGAGAAGATTCTTGAAATAGTTTATGACGACATCGATGACGGACGCCGAGTGATGGCATAAGCTCACATGGGGCCCTTCAGGCACCAGTGAGCTTAAAATTGACCTAAATGGGACACTTAACAAAAGTAAATCCTTTACATAACAAGAACACCTTATGATTTGTTTTTCTATTGAAATCATATGAATCCCTAACCAATATATTTTCCATAGAAATAATTGAGTAAATTACCTGGTATAGTTTCTCCTCCAGTTCCAAATAAAACATACTGGGATCCATCTTTAGTTGTATACATAACCGGTGACATATAGATCTCTTTCTTATGTGGAGCAGCTATGTACCTGACACCAAAAACTTTCCCAGTAGCACCAGACAAAACAAGGAGTCTGCCTGAATGACGATTATGTTCCTATATAAAACAATTCCTAGTTTGAAAATCTATTTATAAAAGTAACACCTCTAAAATAGACCACAAAGATTGCAGGACTACAAACATAGGAAAGATTTTCAGAATTTCATTGGCTTATACATTTAAGTTGTCACATCCATATGGTTTTACATATTCAATACAAACTTAATAACTGTATGTACACTTCATTTATAAAGGGATATTGCTATAATATAAAATAACTTTAGAATAAAACTCAATGTTTTTTTTTTTTTGAGATTGTAGTGCTGTCTTGTTGACATATACATTCCACATCTCCTTTTATTTATATTTAGAAGCAAAGTACAGTAACTCTTTCAGATGAACAGGTTCATCAACAAGAGTGCACAAGCTGAAATGTCTCGCCTTCTTTACTAATCATTGATATTATGTTGATAGTCCTAAATATAAAGCTTTATTACAACTGTCGCATAAACTTAACATTAACCAAGTAAACTAAATATTGACCAATGAACCATGAAAATGAGGTCAAGAACCATGCTAGGCAGGCATGTACAGCTAACAATTCTTCCATACAACAAATATAGTTGACCTATTGCTTATAGTTTAAGAAAAACAGACCAAAACACAAAAACTTAACACTGAGCAATGAACCTTGAAAATGAGGTCAAGGTCAAATAAAACCTGCGTGACTGACATATAGATCATAAAATATTTCCATACACCAAATATAGTTGAACTATTGCATATAGTATTAGAAAAAAAGACCAAAACTCAAAAACTTAACTTTGACCACTGAACCATGAAAATGAGGTCAAGGTCAGATGACACCTGCCATCTAGACATGTACACCTTACAATCATTCCATACACCAAATATAGTAGACCTATTGCATACAATATTAGAAAAAAAGACCAAAACTCAAAAACTTAACTTTGACCACTGAACCATGAAAATGAGGTCAAGGTCAGATGACACATGCCAGCTAGACATGTACACCTTACAACCATTCCATACACCAAATATAGTAGACCTATTGCATACAGTATAAGAAAAACAGACCAAAACACAAAAACTTAACTATAACCAGTAAACCATGAAAATGAGGTCAAGGTCAGATAACACCTGCCAGCTAGACATGTTCACCTTACAATCATTCCATACACCAAATATAGTAGACCTATTGCTTATAGTATCTGAGTTATGGACTTGACCACCAAAACTTAACCTTGTTCACTGATCCATGAAATGAGGTCAAGGTCAAGTGAAAACTGTCTGACAGGCATGAGGACCTTACAAGGTACGCACATATCAAATATAGTTATCCTATTACTTATAATAAGAGAGAATTTAACATTACAAAAAAATCTTAACTTTTTTTTCAAGTTGTCACTGAACCATGAAAATGAGGTCAAGGACATTGGACATGTGACTGACGGAATCTTCGTAACATGAGACATCCATATACAGAGTATGAAGCATCCAAATCTTCCACCTTCTAAAATATAAAGCTTTTAAGAAGTTAGCTAACGCCTCCGCCGCCGGATCACTATCCCTATGTCGAGCTTTCTGCGACAAAAGTCGCAGGCTCGACAAAAATTAATTCTACAAACCAAATATAATTGACCTGTAACTTTTGGTTTCAAACATTGTACCTCAAGATAGATTAATGAACCATAAAATAAGGTTAAGGTCAGGTGACCCCTGCCAGACAATAATGTAATCCTTATAATTGAAACTATTTTTAGATCAAATATAGTCAAACTTTTTATAACAAGCAGTGAAAATCTGACTTATCATGAAAACTTCATCTGATGTAAATTAGATCAAAGTCAAGTAACCCTTGTCACGAAGGCATGAGCATCTCAAGACAACTAAGAAATTTTAAACCTAAGAATGAAAACTTAATATGAGTCACTGAACCTGGCAAATTAGGTCAGGTCAGAATATTCCATCAGACAAACATGTTAACCTTGCAATAAATATATTGACCACATATAGAAAACCTTTTTATCATTATCTGAGAAACCAAACTGATCCAAGAAAAATTAACATTAATCACAAAACTTTGAAAATGAGGTCAAGGTCAAATGTTTGCAAGACAGACATGTACTCTTAACAATAAAATTTTATAACAAATATAGTCTGACTTTGTCTTGCAGTTAATGATAAATTGATATAATTACGAAACTAATCAGATTCATTAAACCACAAAATGAATTCAAGGTTAAGTATCATGACCCACTTTCTGAACCTAATTAAAACCTAACATGAGGTTTATAGATATGAAGTTAAGTCAATGTGAAATACATCCTTTTTTAATGACAGACGTTTATGAAGTATGTTCCAAACATAAGTGATCATTAAGATATTATCATTTTATGAATCTGAGATGATTTTCAATTGTCCATCCTTGAGGACCTTTTACTTATGAAATATAACAAATAAAAGTACTAAGACATGTCCTTATAGTCTTGTTAACACATGAACAATGGTCTTGATAAAATTTTGCAGTGAATAACTGAATTTGAATGAAAACATAATTTGAAGACACTCAACGATATTGATTAACACTGAAGTCAGTATTAAGTGTCAAATTCATGACAAAACCTAGTCGTTATAAACTAGAAATAAAAGTATATACATGTATTATAATCTCAAAGGATACAGTAAAAAGCTATGATATTATGTCAATTTAAAACAAACAGAACACAAACAGAACACAAATCTTTTGCTTTAGAAAGAAGATTGTACATTTTTTCCCCTATAAAATAAGTACAAATTAATAAAATTGAGAATGGAAATGGGGAATGTATAAAAGAGACAACAACCCGACCAAAGAGCAGAAAACAGCCCCATTGCTGATACATACATTATTATATGATAAACATTGTTTACCTCTGGTTCTTTATCTGGATCCCCTCCATTAGTTAGCAATACTTCTGGTACCCCATCCTGATCAAAGTCAGGTAATGCTAATACTTGGTAGGTATTCCATGTTGGTTTTATTAAATTGTTATCACCAAGCCATAAAATTTTTCCTGAAATATAAAAAATGTGACCTTTTATTTGATATAATTTTCTACCTGTAATTTTTGTGGCTACTTTTTTCCCCCTTTTAACCTTTTCTTGTTGACCTTACTGTAATTTTTTTTCTTCAATCTCTAAATTTGTTGGTTTATTCATATTAAAAAAGATCCAAGTTTGACACATTTGTAATGATTTATATTTGTGTTATTTTTGTACTTCAGAAAGTTTCATAAATAAATTGCTAGATAATATTAAAGAACCTCTTGAGAGCAAGTCTACATAAAAGAGAAAAGCTTATAGTGACTTTTTTTCATAGTTCTTTCTAGTGACTATTATGTATGATTCTATTCTGTTATGACTTCAGACAGTTATATTGTCTTACAAATAATGAAAGCACTATCCAGATGACATTCCATTAACTTGGCCTAAATAACTTTGACCTGGGCTTTTCACCAACGTCATAAAGAATGAACCTACGTTGATAAATTTGACCTGAACTTATCAATTCATCTTCTGGTTTGCTGGTGAAACAAAGAAAAACACATGTTTCTATCATGCAAACTTCACAAATACAATCTGATAAATCAGTTATCAGATTTTCATCATATTTATATTGTTAAATGTCATCTGCTCAACACAATACGAAAGACACCCACAGGACAAAACCTTCATATTTTACAGTATCAATAGGCAGACAACCTGATAATTACAAATTTCATAACAAGTGAGAATTAGATATTGCTTGATATCAACTCAAGTTATTTAATTTTAATATGGATGTAATAATAAACGAGTCTTCGGGGAGTAAGAAATCACATATGTCCGTTGCCATGGATAAAATGTACATCGTCTTAACCTTTGAAAGTTATCAATGACCTAAGGAATAGCCAATGGAAATGTTGTAATATCGTCTCATGATGCTGGATAAGCCAATCAAATTAACGCAGTTTTCGTATCACACTCCATGCAGTGTGATACGAGATATATCTCTTCATGCAAGAAATAAATAAGAGGCCACAACCTTAAGAGAATGGATACTTATGTGACCATATATGCAAGTTTGGTTCTTATCCCATGTCAAGTTCTGGAATTATAATCCGGAAACCTCTTTTTTCTTTTAAAACTTTCAAAGGAGCAAGGTTTTTTTTAAATATTTTGAAAAAAATATGTTAAGTGATAACTTTCAAATAGAACTTGAAAAATTGGGACATCATAATTATTACCAACAACAAGAGGCTGTTAGAGCAGGGTTTCCAAAATTATTTTTAGCAAGCCGGACATTTTATATATTACCCTGTTTTTAATCCCTTAAGACTAAATAAACAAAAGGCAATTATGGTATTCAGTTGCCGAGTTGGCCATCCCAATGATTGACATTAAAAAAAAACCGATATTAAACTTTCTTTGATTCGAATTCGAAGTTCTGACGTAAACTGTTAAATTGGCAGTGCATCATTCGAAGTGTGCAACATCAGCGTACTTATATCTGCCTTAGACTCTTTATTTGTGAAAAATAACGTTGTCAAAAACTTTACTTTTGTTTTTAAATCTAATACCGGATGTTATCTTGACAATGGTAAAACATGGACCAGAGACGGATACGTAAATTCCGTGTACGTTTGCTAAGCATGAATGAGTGTACGTAGCTCTTTCTACGTTATTTCTTCCAAGAAAATATTCGAAATAAACGTGAGATAAAGGTATCAATGACAATTTAAGCATTTTTTGAAATTAGGATGCATAATTAAATTTAACACCTGCGCACATGCTCACACGTGTATCAGTTTAAACAGAGACATGTCTCTGGTTCAAACAACGTGGCTATGACGATTTTTCATTTTCACCTTTTTAATTTTTTCATCAAATCATCTTTGTAAACGTATTTCTGATAATTTAAATCTTTTTGACTAAATTAATTAGATGCAAACTGCTGAAATGTAAGAAAATAAATTTGAATAGACCGATCAATGTCCGGTTCAAAATAGTTTACCTGTCACCTGAACAGGTAAATTGCAGCTGGTCGACAACTAATTAGCCTTGATTAAAATGAGAAGGTATTAAAGTGGGGGTTGTTTTGATAGTACTTAATGATCATGTCACTTTTATGACTGGAAATGTGTGGCTGTTAAAGGCAAAAGGTTGGGTCAAAAAGATCACGAATTATGTTAAAATGACTGTCTCTTAAGAAAGCCTTGAAAACTTAAAAGTAGATGACCGTTTCATGCTTTGCCCAGCCTGACTTTTACCGGACATTATACAAATGTCCAGAATATATGACCGTTTTGGAAGCCTTGTTAACAGTTAGAGTGACAGCAAACCGGATTTTCCTGCAGAGGTTGAACCCTGAACAGTTGAGCAAGTATATATACACAATATTTAAGCTTAAAACAGCTCTGAATTTGGATTATGATTGAATATTTGACACAGCATAGGTTTGTGACAAGAAATGAATGTGGTCAAAGATCTGAAAAATTTGAAATTGGACATTTACCTATTATGGTCCAATTTCCAAAATCTAAGTACATTGTTAGAATCAGCATACCAAAGAACCCCAAGAATTCAATTTTTGATGAAATACTTATTAATTACACCATTTCTGTTCAAAGGGAAATAACTCAAAAAAAAAACAAGAGACCAAATGACATAGAAATTAATTATTAATTACACCATTTCTGTTCAAAGGGAAATAACTCAAATTCATATAATAAATATCACTTTTGCTACTGAAAGGTCTACAACTCAACAACGAGAACAGCTAAAATCATGAAAATTGAACTTGACCTTCATTTAGTCACAGGAAACAACATATCTAAATTTGAAAAGATTTCGTCAAAGCGTTTTCATGTTAATGAACGGACACTGTTTGGCAGCCCGCTGTACATCCCCAAATCAAAAACCTATTTTTCTTTCGAAAATCCGGTTAAAAGTTGTTTTTCCCTGATATATTTTTGGGGTAGTTTGTCAATGCCCTATGAAAATTTGGTACATCATAAATTTTCTAAATAAAAGAATTATACATTCTTGAACATAGATCCATTTCTTTCCAGGAAGTTTTTATTTTTTGTGTACTATCTACTAAACCTTACAATTTAAGACAAAAGAGAAAGTCAATCCATATTGACACTCAACTCTAAACCTTGCAGCTAATAGGGTTCTTCAAGATCACACAATCAAGGAAAGGGTGGAATTCAATAGTTATGGACATGTTAATTAATGACAACTATCAAACAGAACTATATACTTAAGACGTCACAATTATTATTGACACAAGTCTGTTTTTCCTCGACATCACAATTATTATTGACACAAGTCTGTTTTTCCTCGATGTATTTTTATTGTAGTTTGTCTTTTGGCCATGATATTTTGACTAGAAAACAATCTGAGTTAATAAAATAAATAATGTACTTGTACCAGTACATGATAAAAACAGTTACTCAAACATACCATTCTTTGGGTTTACTGCCTGAAGAGTTGCCCGCCTTCCAGTAACAATACAGTCTTTCTGTCCATCCTTGTTCACATCAAAATCTTCACAATTTATAAATATTACAGCTGATTTAGTAAATGTTTTCCATAAAACTTCACCGTCAGTACCTCTTATAGCAAACAAATGTCCTAGGCAGGGATAAGACATATCTGTGAAATTGGAAAGAAAAAAAAACTTGTAAACCTGGCCCTGGTCACACTGATTAAAAGATATAAAAGCATTAGTTAAAGAATTCATAATGCATGTGGCAAAACATAATACAAAAACAAAGAAGATATATTATATATGTTTCATATTTCATTTAGATTAAATTGGTGGCCTTGGGCTGTTTTCTGCTCTTTGGTCGGGTTGCTGTCTCTTTGCATTCCCCGTTTCCATTCTCAATTTTATATAACATATTCTTTTAAAAGAGCTGGAAACAGCTATTTTGTAACATTGCTTATCTTTTAAACTGACTGATATTTAATGTGACTGACATGATACAGAACATGATTGGTTCTAACCCAATTAATTCATAAGAAGAACCAAAGCAATCAAATAGTCTCTGTTATATTCAACATTTGGTGAATCATGTCTTCACACACTACTTGGACACTGGAGATTGTACAGAAAGCATTGCCTTATTAAGGCTTATTACTTATTATTGTGTGTGTCTATGAAACACATATCATGCCCCCCTTAAGTTCCAGCAGGAACCTGCAGTCAGTTAACCTGTTATTTCTAAATCTGTTTTCCACAATAAATAAGACCAAACAAGTGTGCACACACTGAAATGTCTCGCCTGCTTTACTGACCATTAATTTTATTTTGATAGTCCTAAATATAAAGCTTTACTACAAGTATCACATAAACTTAACATGATCCAAGAAAATGAGGTCAAGGTCAGATAAACTAAACCGGAAATACATGTACACCTTACAATCATTCCATACATCAAATATAGATGAAAACTGTCTGAAAGGCATGGGAACCTTGCAAGGTACGCATATACTAAATAGAGTTATCCTTTTACTCTTGATAAGAGAGAAATTAACATTACCAAAAATCTGAACTTTCAAGTAGTCATTGAACCAAAAAATGAGGTCAAGGACCATGGACATATGACAGACAGAAACTTCATAACATAAGGCATCTATATACAAAGTATGAAACATCCAGGTCTTCCACCTTCTAAAATATCAAGCTTTGAAGTACTGTAGTTAGTTAACGCCACAGCCGGATCACTATCCCTATGTCGAGCTTTCAGAGACAGAAGTCGCAGACTCGACAAAAACTACATATCTTATAAATATATTTCTGTAACACCTTCAAAACAAAATACTCTTTGATTAATAACCTGCAATTTGTCCAAAAAAATCAGAATTCTGCTATGCACATCTTTACCATCTTTACTGTATGTACAAAAAAAAAACAAGCAAAATAAAGTTGTTTGAGCTTGAATTGCAATTAATCCTCTCATCTGTTCAAAAGAACTGGTGGACATATTTGTAGTTTGGTAGTTACATGAATACATGTACTAAAACAATACATCTAACATGTCTAACATAATTCTGAAAACCTTTACAAAGTAAATAAAAAAAAAAGAATTGTTTTTAGTGTTTAAATTGTACTTTCTTTTTACTGTTTACAGTGATACATGTATATACAATGACAATTGGTTAATATAGGTTACTGTATTGATACATGTATTTTTGCAGAATGGCTAAGTCAGTTCCCAAAGGATAGAGATTTACAGATGCCATGTTGAAGGGTCATAAAAATACATCACAGAGTATTCCTGTTACTTTGGACTTAACAAAATTACTGTTTTGTATTTCATTTAAGACATTCATGAAAAGATGTTACAGTTGATGCAGGAGAATCCAAACAACTAGATAAAGAACTGACGTAAACTGAACTTACTTTTCATTTTGCAAATTTCCTGAGCAGATGTGTGCAATTTTTGTAAACCTTCACCAATATTTTCTGATAGTGATGCACCAAATATAATGTCTAATACACCATCATTATCAACATCTATAAGTCTAACACAGGATTCAGAGCCTGAAAAAATTATTATTCAAAATTCATTATATTTAAATAACAACTGTCATGACTGAAAAAAAAATCATAAGAGGTTCCGCTGAACCCTATGTCTTGCCTGTGATTGCTGCTGTCAGTGTAAAAGTGTAATGTTGACTTAAGTCCATTTATCAGTAAAATAAGGAAAAATGAAAATAAATATTTTCAAAAATTTTCTCTGGAAACTGTCTTTTGCAATTGGTCATAAACCATATGTAAACAAGCTTCTGTCCAAATTTCCTAAAATTCCATGAAGGTTTGACAAAGTTATTGATGACTGAAAAGCTTTAACCTCAGACTAAACTGAATGTTAACTGTAAAAAAAAACCAATTCCATTTATCAGTAAAATATGGAAAAAAATTTTGCTCTGGCATTTTGAGGTACATTTTTGGACATTATTTTTCATACAGAACACATATTGCTACGTACATACCATCTTTGGTAGTAAGAACTAACTTATCATAATACATTATCTGACATAAAAACATCACATATAAAGTATCCTACAAGAGACTGACAAAGGTTTGAATGGAAGTCATCATTTTTTTTTATCTACATGTATAACAGTAGTCTCAGTTAATATATACATTTTATACAGATGATTTTCAGAGGATCAAAAATTCAATTTCTCCCTTTTCTCCAATTATTCTATGTAGGCAGAATACTATAAATTTTTGCACATTTTTGGATAACTTGCTTATTTTCAAGCTATGTTTCAATAATCCAAACTTTTTAAGTGCAGTGTTTTAGTGAAATTGTAAATTTTAATTGTTATGCAATCATATTCCCAAATAAACACCAAATAAACAGCCACTGGGCTGGGAAATACTCATCAAACCCAGGTTTCTGCTAACCCTGGTCCAAATTTCATAAAATTCCATGTAGGTTCAACAAAGTTATTGATGTATAAAAAAACTTTAACCACAGACTCACTGACTGAACCTAAAAAGTTGATGCCGCCGCTGACGGAATCTAGGATTGCTTTGTCTTGCTTTCACGAAATAAATTTCACAGGCTCACAAAAAAGCATAAGAATATAAATACATGATAAATCAAGGTTATACATTTGTGTATTTCATTTGCGCAAAAAAAATACTATATTTCATAATTTGCGCCATTTTACAGGTAACATATACCGGAAAAGATTAAATAGTCATTGCTATATCGTGAATCACAACAATTCAGAATCAGAGTTCGAAAAGCATCTGGTGACATTACTAAAAGACCATCAAAGGTTATACGCACAAGGTAAATTCTCTTTGCGTTGCCAATATTGCTTTAACAATATGTAAGTCAAAATGTATTTTCCAAATCAAACATAGAATCATACTTATATTATCTATCTGCAAAAGTACGAATACATTTTTATAAATTTAGAAGAATTTTTGGGGGCAAACACTCTAATGGATAGTGCTTTCTTTTAGGTTTTATGACCACATTGATTTATAACAGAACTGTGTTTTAACATTAGTACAAAAGCCTCTTATCAATGTATAGTGCTTTCATTATGGTTTTATGATGCCTGATTTCTGATGAATATGTGTTATTATGCAAACAAAAACTGTGTTTTAAAGTCATTATTAAATTTCAATAAATCTATTTTTTTTTTTACTATCTATCTGTATTTACCTGTAGTATAGGCACAAATGAAATATGGTTTGTGGTGCAAATGAAAGTTTTTTTCGGTGCAAATGAAATGCCAATTGGCACAAAAGCAAAGCACTGAATAAATCCTATCAAGGGTAAAAAATTCAACAGAATAGTTTTGAGAAAAGGATCCGGAGTCGATATTGCAAAAAGGGGCTGTATTATAGACAAATGCAGACTATCGGATAATGCAATGCTTTCTTTGGTAAAATTAAATATGAACAACATTCTTACTTAAAAAAACATATTTGAATAACATCAATATCTTTGTATGAGATATTTTTTGACAAACATCTTTTGGGAGCTAAAGCACTTACCATGTTTATTTACTCTGACTAGAAATGCATATGTAGCGTTATTATTAAGCTAATATAACTCTTAACTTACCATAATTTTCCATTTTTTTCTTCCAATCTTTGCCCATTGGATGTTTTCTGTTTCCTTTTGTTGGTGGTTTAATCACAGATATTTTGTTTGGTTTAGATTGCTGAGGAGATATCACATGGTTTGTTTGATTGATCAAGTTCCCAGTTGAATTAACTTTTTTATTGTCAGTATTATCATCAGCTGATAATTTAAGTGCCCCTACTGCTGCTATTACTATACATGTTATCAATATACAAGTCACCCAACAAATAATGGTCCAGTTTTTAGGATCTGGTTGTATAACTTTTGGTTGGTGTTTTGGTGCTTTTGTTGGTGGTTTCCCATTTTGTGGAGGAATCAGTTGAAGTTCTATTTTCCCATTGTCTACTTTATGTCCATAAATAACATCTTCATCATCAGAGTCATCGCTCAGAGATGTTAATGGAACTTTTGAATATTGGTCCAATTCATAAGAATACTTTCCTGAAAAAAAGAATTATTCTTAAATGCAAAATGTGAAAAACTCAGTTTATTTGCTTTTACTACATTTTTAATAGATATAAGAAGATGTGGTATGAGTGCCAATGAGACAACTCTCCATCCAAGTCAAAATTTATAAAAGTAAACCATTATAGCCTTTTAGGTCAAAGTACAGTCTTCCACACGGAGCCTTGGCTCACACCGAACAGCAAGCTATAAAGGGCCTCAAAAATTACTAGTGTAAAACCATTCAAACGGGAAAACCAACGGTCTAATATATATAAAAAACTAGAAACGAGAACCACATCAACAAACGACAACTACTGAACATCAAATTCCTGACTTAGGACAGGTGCAAACAATTGCAGCGGGTTTAAATGTTTTAATGGTACCAAACCTTCACCCTTATCTGAAACAATAGTGTATCATCACAACATAGAAAAACACACTATAAAATATCAATTGAAATGGCTTAACTCAATCAAAAGACATAGTAACACCAGTGAACATACACTGAACAAATAAATTTGATCTATGATACAATGCAAATACAAAATAAATAAACTAAGGGAAGAATAATAAAAGTAACATGTTATACCGCTGTGAAATGTTAAACAATTTAAAAAAAACAATAAACCTATTACTAAATATGAACATGAAAAAACCACAAACCCATCACTTGTCAAAACATCCAAATACACACCTGGCATATATCAAACTACGAAATGATAGTTACAGACTGTGACACCATACCTTACTATCAGTGTAGCAAATCCAGGAAATGTTATATTTACTCAAAGGCAAACTGGAACAACATAAAAGAAGAGATTACATCAACATCAACAAAAATCCGACAGATGAAGGCTCGTGGAATATGAAATGAGTGACACCTTCAAGAAAGAACTTTTTCAAAGTATAGACAATCACATTCCATCTAAAGAAATCCTCTTCAAGAACAACTTACCCTGGATAAACCACAAAATAAGGAAACTGTTCAAAAAGAAACAAAGGCTATACTGTACCAACAAGCTAAACGAACTAAAAAATGGACAAATTCAGTGGCGGATCCAGAACTTTTCATAAGGGGGGCCAGCTCACTGACCTAAGGGGGGCCCGCTCCAGTCATGCTTCAGTGATTCCCTATATAATCAACCAAATTTTTCCCACGAAAGGGGGGGCCCAGGCCCCCAGATCCGCCTATGAAATTACAGACAGTTCCAAAAAGAAGTAAAACGGCAGTTCAGAAAAGAAGAATACTCTTACATCGATGATACTATCATCATAGGCCTTAAAACAAACAACACAAAGCCATTCTGGAAGTACATCAAATCCAGGAAAACAGATAACATTGGAGTATCACCTTTAAAAAACAAAGGGAACCTGATCAGTGACAAGGGAAGGGAAGGTTGAAATTTAAATTCAACAATTTTTATTTAGATCCGTATTCACAATTAACAAATCAACATCAATACCCAAAACAACAAAATACATCAAAGAATCCATACCTGAACTACTAATAACTACTAAAGGTCTTAAAAAACTACTCAAAGATGTTAATCCATGGAAAGCATCTGGACCAGACGGTATACCAAACAGAATACTAAAAGAATGTGCAACAGAAATAGCACCAGGACTAACTGCCATCTTCCAAATAGCAATAGACACTGGAATACTACCTGAAGACTCGCTCAACGCAAACATTTCATGTGTTTTCAAAAAGGGAGACAAACATGCTGCAGAAAACTAATTATATATAAGGACCAGTCTCATTAACATCGCTACTGCAAACTTCTAGAACACATTACATGCAAGCACATCCTTAAACATCTTGAAAAGCACAGAGTCTTAACATCACTCAACCATGGATTCAAATCTGGCTATTCGTGCGAAACTCAATTGCTAGTCACTTTACATGAACGTATTCGACGCTGGTCTATAAACTGACATTGCAATCCTGGATTTTTCCAAAGCTTTTGACACTGTACTGCATAACAAATTACTATAAAAAATGGGAGCATACAGAATTGGAGGACAAATTAATAAACAACTGGCTAAATATGTTTCTGACACAGAGGAAGATGAAAGTGGTAGAAGAGGGAGAAACAACTGGCTAAATATGTTTCTGACACAGAGGAAGATGAAGGTGGTAGAAGAGGGAGAAACAACTGGCTAAATATGTTTCTGACACAGAGGAAGATGAAAGTGGTAGAAGAGGGAGAAACAACTGGCTAAATATGTTTCTGACACAGAGGAAGATGAAGGTGGTAGAAGAGGGAGAACAGTCTGAAGAAATAAAAGTGGACTCAGGAGTTCCACAAGGAACAGTACTTGGACCATTACTCTTCCAATGTCACATAAATGACCTCCCCGACACTGTCAAATCTTTAGTACGACTATTCATTGATGACTGCCTACTGTAAAGAACCATCAAGACAAAGAAAGACCACAAACTACTGCAAGAAGACCTAGCAAACCTAGAAGATTGGGGAAACAAATGGGGAATGCGATTTAACGCAAAAAAATGCTACGTCCTAAGCATCAAAAACAAAAGCCAGAGATTCTATACACTCAATGGCCACATACTCCAACAAGTGCAGAACAACCCATACCTAGCTATAGGAGTGCAAATATAAGAAGATATGAAGTGAACCATGCATATAACAAATGCTGCGAAAAAGGCAAACTCAACCATAGGTTTTCTCAGAAGAAACTTAAGGTACTGTCCACAGGAATGTACATGTAAAGAAAACTGCTTACATTTCTCTAGTACGTTCAACTATAGAATATGTAGCAACAGTGTGGAAACCCTACAGTATAGCAGATACAAACAAGGCGGAAAGCAGCACGATTCATAACAGGCAACTATAAAACAAGAGAAGATGGATGCCTCACAAACATGCTTGCCAAATTAGAACTTCAAGAATTACAACACAGACACACAAGCCAAAAACTTATATTTTTAGGTGGTTGAGGGCCTGGTTCCTGCTATTGATCCAGACGACTACTTAAAATCTGCAAGACCAAGAAGAACCATTACGCCAAAGTTTGATAATTACCAAGCTACTAACATTATTGAATAAACAATTCACCAAAGTTTTATGCAAATTGGTTAAAGCATTTTTGAGTTAATGTCCGACATGTTGACGACGGACAGACGGATAACGGTATACCATAATACGTCCCGTAAACGGGCGTATAAAAACAAGTGAGAAACAATACTGGATGTTTTAACATTCCTACCAGTAAAACACCGCAACATAATACAAGGAAGAGAAGGATATAGGAGTGGTCATAGATGAAGATCTAACATTCGAAAAGCATATATGAGAAAAAGTTAACAAAGCTAATTCAATTTTTGCGGCATTAAGAAGATCATTTAAAATCTAAATCTAAAAATCTAAATCTAAATGCTGAAATTTTCCTTCCACTATACAAAACATTAGTGAGAACACACTTAGACTATGCTAGCTCAGTATGGGCACCTTTTAAAAAGAAATGTATAGATAAAATCGAGAATGTACAAAAAAGAGTGACACTTCAGATACCAGGCTTCAATAAATTAAGCTACCCAGAAAGATTGAAGAAACTTAGGCTACAGACATTGTCATATAGAAGAGTCTGAGGGGACATGATTGAGATACCGGTATATAAAATATGATACTAAATGGAAAATTTGACCCAGAAACTAGTACATTCCTCAAATTAATATCAAACACACAAAATAGGCATAGCACAAGAGTTAATAGTAAAAAAATCATTCACCAACGATTTAAAACTAGTCTGAGGAAAAATAGCTTTGCAGTAAGAATTGCCAAAATATGGAATAAGCTACCAGATAAAGTTATAAAAGCTCTGTCTATAAACGCTTTTAAAAATAGACTGGATAAACACTGGGAATAAGAAGAAATCTATTATTCTGATTATCAAGCTGAATTAGCCGGAAGCAGCAACAGAATTAATAGAGATAAAAACACAATATATGAGTCTGGTGAAGAGGAATCGTGAGGATACTGTACTGGAAAACATAATTAAGTATCATTAAGTAAGTAATTAACATACAAATTAATTCTTTGAGTCCACAATAATTAACTGGAACCAACTAGAAGACACAATTGTGCGCACAACAAATGTAGAGAGCTTTAAATCTGCTCTTGCGAAACATCAATAAATCGACGGTGCCTTCACCCTGTTGTATAAACGCCAGACATACCCATACAGATACAGAAAAAGTCATCATTTAGCATGTTTAGTGTGGAAAATGTGAAGGCATTATTGTTAGTGACAGCAGTATTTCATTCAAACTAAAAACAAGAATTCTTGTCATTTCGGCACCTGGTCAAATCGGCACCCGGTATAGTCAATTCGGCACCTAGTCAAATCCAGACCTGGTTAATTGGCATTATGTTTTGCAAAGTAAACTATTGAAGACTCCTTTTTTCCCATATTTTTTATATTTTAGCTCCAGGTGTCAATGTATATTTGTTATGCATAACAGAAGTTCCAATGGAAACTTTGTTATAAAAAATGTCGTAATATCTGTTCCTACTGGAACTTATGTTATCAAGGAACTTCCATTTCATGACAACTGTACATTGATTGTAAACATACAAAATTGATGCCAGTCTTAATATTATATAAGTAGACAGGAAATGCTGAAAAAAAAAATTTTAAATAATAATGATTAAATTTGTTTTTATCCTCATACATGTCATATGTGTATTTTAAACAGTAGCTTGGGTGATGGCTTCTCTGTTTAATCCAAGTTATTTTATTTATAAAATATCAAAAACTACCTGAAAATGGTTGAAACAACAAGCGGGTTATTTTTTATAATTAAAAATGTAATACCATATTTTTTTTAAATGATACCCATTCAAACTTAATTATTAAAATATTGAGAAAACTTCCAACAGCAAACAACTGATTATTTTTTATTCTAACTGCTTTAAAATTACATATGCGCTGGGGTATTTTAACGATGTAGGAAAAGTATCTTTTTAAATAACCTCGTCAATTGTATGTTTTTGCGAAACAAAATATAAATAAAAAAGCGAAAAAACTACTCTCCCCTTATCTCTAATAAAAATAAAAGAATAAAAGAAAAAAAGATGTAAAAATATATGGTGCCAAATTGACTAACCAAATGCTGAAATGACTTTAAATAGGTGCCGATTTGACTGGATGCCGATTTTACTTTTTCTATAGGTGCTGAATCGACCAGGTGCCGATTTGACTTGTACCCAAAAACAAGAGTGCATACTCTGAGGTTGACAGCACAGGCTCCACAGGTCTCTGTGTTAAAAAATTTTTTTTACTCAGGCCATTGAAAACTAAATGATGGTTTCCTGTAACACAACAAAATATCATAGGATCGGCAGGCAGGAAAAACTTTTTATTCTATTTTACACAAACTCAAACGAGGCCCATGCACATCATGCAGTTTCACTCTACAGAGTTTTTTTTTTAAACCATTGACATGAAATTCTTGAAAAAAATTGTTTTCAAATGTAAACAAAGAGTCAATCATAAGTCTAGGTAATAATAAAATGCTTCGCTGGGCGCAGCTTGATACGACCGCAGAGGTCGAACCCTGAACAGTTGGGGCAAGTATGGACACAACATTCAAGCTTGATACAGCTCTGAATTTGGATTGTGATTAAATATTTGACACAGCATAGGTTTCTGACACAGAAAGAATGTGGTCTAAGAACTTGAATTTTTTTGGTTTACCTACATTGTATTATGGTCCAATGTCAAAAATCAAAATACATGGTTAGATTCAGCATATCAAAGAACCCCATATATTCAATTTTTGTTGAAATCAAACAAAGTTTAATTTTGGACCCCAACTTGGACAAACTTGAAAACTGGGCCCATAATCAAAAATCTAAATACATGTTTAGATTCAGCATATCAAAGAACCCAAAGATTTCAATTTTTGTTAAAATCAAACTAAGTTTAATTTTGGACCCTTTGGACCTTAATGTAGACCAATTTAAAAAACGGGACCCAAAATTAAAAATCTAAATACACGGTTAGATTTGGAATATCAAAGAACCCCAATAATTCAATTTTTGATGAAATCAAACAAAGTTTAATTTTGGACCCTTTTGACCTCAATATGAACCAATCTGATAGCGGGGCCCACAAATAAAAAATCTAAATACATGGTTAGATTCAGCATATCAAAGAACCCCATATATTCAATTTTGTTGAAATCAAACAAAGTTTAATTTTGGACCCCAATTTGGACCAACTTGAAAACTGGGCCAAAAATCTAAAATCTAAATACATGTTTAGATTCAGCATATCAAAGAACCCCAAGAATTCAATTTTTGTTAAAATCAAACTAAGTTTAATTTTGGACCCTTTGGACCTTAATGTAGACAAATTTAAAAAACAGGACCCAAAATTAAAAATCTAAATACACGGTTAGATTTGGCATATCAAAGAACCCCAATAATTCAATTTTTGATGAAATCAAACGAAGTTTGATTTTGGACCCTTTTGACCTCAATATGAACCAATTTGATAGCAGGGTCCACAAATAAAAAATCTAAATACATGGTTAGATTCAGCATATCAAAGAACCCCATATATTCAATTTTTGTTGAAATAAAACAAAGTTTAATTTTGGACCCCAATTTGGACCAACTTGAAAACTGGACCAAAAATCAAAAATCTAAATACATGTTTAGATTCAGCATATCAAAGAACCCCAAGAATTCAATTTTTGTTAAAATCAAACAAAGTTTAATTTTGGACCCTTTGGACCTTAATGTAGACCAATTTGAAAACTGGACCCAAAATTAAAAATCTAAATACACGGTAAGATTCGGCATAACAAATAAATAAATGTGGTCAAAGATTTTAAAAATCTAATGCGCCATACTGTGCAATTAAAGATTACTTCTTGAAATTTGAAAAAAAATAATATTTGAAGAATAATTCTTTTTAATTTCTGAAATCTGAAATGAGAAAAAATTGACCCCCCACAATTTCTTTTTACCCCCCCCCCCCCCCTTTTTTTCCCCCAAAAAATTCTTTCCCTCAAGATATGGTCATAATCTCAATCAAATTTCCAATGGAGTTTGCAACCATAATTACCCATTTAAATTTACCATAGTGCTAACTTAATCTATTTTATAATAGAATTTAAAATATAGTGTCAAATCTTTCATATGGATTTTTTTGTAAAAAAAAAAGATGCAACATTTGCAGATATTTTTACTGGTCTTCCTTTATAAATATGCATTTCTTTAAACATAATTTAAAAGCAGTGTAAGGGAAGTAACCAAAACGTTGTATTTGGATTACCTCCCTTACACTGTTTTAAATTATCTTAATTGTTCATTAACCATTACTTTATTCATAATTTAAAAGCAGTGTAAGGGAGATAATTTCAATGATGTATTTGATTTATCTCCCTTACACTGCTTTAAATTATGTTTTGTACTAAAGTATTTGTCCATTAACCAGGACAACAGTGTTTTTCCCCCTTTTTTGCCCCTAATTCCTAAACGGTTTGAGCCATAACCCCCAAAAGCAAATCCTAACCATCCCTTTGTGGTATGGAAACTTGTAGTATAATTTCAGAGAGATCCATACACTGTTCCACAGTTATTGTCTGGAAACTAGAAAATGCTTATTTTTGGCCCCTTTGTGGCCCCTAATTCCTTAACTGTTGGAACCATAACCCCCAAAATCAATCCCCACCTTCCTTTTGTGGAATTGAACCTTATGGTAAAATTTCAAAGAGATCCATTCACTTAAACTAAAGTTAGAGTGCGAAAACCAATGTGTCTTCGGACGACGACGCCGACGCCAACGTCATACCAATATACGACCGCAAAAATTTTTTGCAGTCGTATAAAAAACCTACAACACCATGGCCAAAAAGACAAAGGCAGTGTCTGCGCGTACCCGCATGTAAATTGGCCTTCGTAGGCTATGTGTACCCGCCTCTAGTTTTATAATTTAATGTCATCGGATCAGGAATAAAATGTGAAATAAACCCGGAAATTATCGCTATAAGTGAAAAAAAAATTGATTACTCACAGAGATTTTAAGATTTGAAATGTCAAAATTTTAGCTTTGAAAAAAAAAGTTCAATGCCGATTTTATTTTTACTATGTCCCTAATACGCTTTCGTAGAAACGATCCTGGTTAGTTTTTTAATTTTTTCTTTAGATATTATTTATAATTATTGATATAATGTAATAATGGAATACACGATACAATGTATATTATTTTTAGATGAGAATCAAATTAAAAGGGCAAGATTATCTTTTCATATATAACACATTATTAATTCAAATAAATTTATTCATCATACATGTAACACTTCATTTTTATTTTAATCTATATGAATTTAATTGCGTATACACTCAAACTTTGATTTTAGTTGTTTTAGATATTTTAAAATGTTTGTTTCTGTATCGAATTTTATTAGAAAATAACTTTCACGCTCGAGTTTTTTTAACATATATTTATTCATATTCTTTTAATGTGCATTTACATTTAATTTCTATTTTTCTAACTAATACAATAACAAAAATATTATTTGCCATTACATTGTATCTTCACTGAATTCACAAAATCAGGAAATAACCGATAATTTTCCTGTATCTTTCACGTTTCATTCCCGATCATATGACAGTTTATTATAAAATCGCTTGCGGGTACGCGTAGCCTACGAAGGCTAATTTGGCTACGTGTACCCGCATGAGGGTACGCGCAGACACTGCCAAGACAAACAACAACATATCAACAAACAGTAAATAAAGATTGACTGAAAACTGACAAAGTAAATTACCTTTTTTCAGAGTGTTCCCCATTCTAGTACAACGCTAGACAATGTTAATATCCAAAGACTGATACAATATACGTTGGGGTGGCCGAGACTGAAACATTAAAACCACTGGGAAGTTAAATAGTTTCACGAGTAATAATATATATATCAAAACGTGATGAAAACCACTATAAGCACCACCGTTTGATTGGATTATTGTTTTCCTGGTAACCTGTCTAGTAGTTGAGACAAGGGACCAATCCTTTTTTTTTCGATTTATTTCTAGCTTTTTCATTATTATGGATCGAAAGCTCGTAGTTATTTCTGCGAATGCTCAATCAAATCAAAACATCCGGTTTGTTTAGCCCACATTGAGCTCCACATTTTATAGGCATGTATGGTTGTCTAATTAACTGTTTAGGTTCAAATATGTATTACAAAGTCCCTAACGGGACATCTAGTCCAATTTAAAAGTCTACCGGAATGTTTTTTCATTGAACATTTTATTAGATATAAAGCACCACCAAAAATGAACTAAACACCAGGGGAGGAAGCTTCTGTCTTTATGTCTATTAGACGGGTATATGGGGTCTATATCACATGTGAGCAGCTGCTTTTGAGGTCAAATTGAGTTTTAAGACGCATTGCCATTGGTCCACAAGCTTGTGTTGTCCATTCCAGAGGCCACTTATGGTATATTTCATCTGTTCATTAAAAAATTATATATCAGCACCACCAGAAAAAACTTACCAACACAGATGATAGCTTCCTAGCCGCTGTCCAAATAATGTCCAATAAGCAGGAAGACGGGTCTACAAACCTCTTTTGGGGTCTATGTTAATTTGTAGGGCCCATTAACCCACAAACACTTTTGATCCAATCCTAAGTATAGAGGTTATGGTACATGTATATTTCATTAAAAAAAAGTAACAAGCACCACCAAAAATGAACTAAGCACCATGCGATGTAGCTTCCCTCCCATTAGTCCAACAGATGGGTATAGGGGTCTAAAACACTCTTTGGGGTTCTAAGTTGGTTTGTGAAGCTCATTAATCTACAGGCACCTTTGGTCCAATCTTCAAGTCAAGGGGTCTTTTATGTTATATTTCATTCAAGAAATATACAAGCACCACCAAAAAACGAACTTATCACTACAGGAGATAGCTTCCTTCCCACTGGTCCAACAGACAGGTTTCAGGGTCTCGAACACTCTTTGGTGTTCTAAGTTGGTTTGTTAGGCTCATTGGTCCACAGGCAACTTTGGTCCACTCTACAAGTCAAGGGGTCTTTTATATTATATTTTATTTGATAAAAATATAAGCACCACCAAAAACAAACTTTGCACCACAAGAGGTAGCTTCCCTCTCTTTGGTCCAACAGATTGGTATAGGGGTCTAAAATATTCTTTGGGGTTCTAAGTTGGTTTGTAAGGCCTGTCGGTCTAAAGGCAACCGTGGTCCAATCTACACAAGCCCAGAGGTCTCAGGGTATATTTCACCAAAGAAAAATATAAGCACCACCAAAAACAAACTAAGCACCACAGGAGGTAGCTTCCCTTCCTTTTGGTCCAACAGATGGGTATAGGGGTCTAAAACACTCTTTGGGGTTCTAAGTTATTTTTTAAGGCTCATTGGTCCACAGGCACCTGTGGTCCAATTTACAGGTCCTGGGGTCTATAAGGGTATATTTCATTAAAGAAAAATATAAGCACCACCAAACACAAACTAAGCACCATGGGAGGTAGCTTTCCTCTCGTTGGTCCATCAGACAGGTTTAGAGGTATAACACACTGTTTTGGGGTCTAAGATGATTTGAAAAGCACATGTGGTGCAATCTTCTAGTCCAGAGGTCTGTTGTGATATATTTCATTAAAGAAATATAAGCATCACCAAACACAAACTAAGCACCATGGGAGGTAGCTTTCCTCTCGTTGGTCCATCAGACAGGTTTAGAGGTATAACACACTCTTTTGGGGTCTAAGATGATTTGAAAAGCACATGTGGTGCAATCTGCTAGTCCAGAGGTCTGTTGTGGTATATTTCATTAAAGAAATATAAGCACCACCAAAAATGAACTTAGCACCACGGATGGTTGCTTCCATCCCCTTGGTCCAACAGACAGGTATAGGGGTGTAAAGCCCGCTTTTGGGGTCTTTGTTGATTTGTGAGGCCTATTAATCCACAAGCACATGTGGTCTAATCTTAAGTCCAGATGTCATTTAGGGTATATTTCATTAAAAAAATATAAGCGCCACCAACTTAACTCCTTGGCAGGTAGCTTCCGCCCTCTTGGCCTAACAGACAGGTATAGAGGTCTAAAAAACTCTTTTGGGGTCTGTGTTGGTTTGTAAGGCCCATTGTTCCAAATGTACCTTTGGTCCAATCTTAAGTTCAGAGGACTTTTATGGTATATTCTAGTAAAAAAATAACTAACACCACCAAAAATGAACTTAGCACCACAGAAGATACATGTAGCTTCCAACCCCTAGTCCAAACAGACAGGTTCATGAGTATAAAACACTATTTGGGGTCTAAGTTGATTTAAAAGGCTCATTGGTTCACAAGCACCTGTGGTCCAAAATTTAGTCCAGAGCCACTTTAATATGGTATATTTTATTTAAAAAATATAAGCACCATCAAAAACTTACTTAACTGCATGGAAGGTAGCTTCCACCCCCTTGATCCAATAAACAGGTATAGGGTCTAAAAAAAACTTTTGGAGGTCTATGTTGATTTATAGGGCCCATTGTCTGTGGTCCAACCTACAAGTCCAGGAGTCTTTTATGATATATTTCATCAAAGAAAAATATAAGCACCACCAAAAACGATCTTAGCACCACAGGAAGTAGCTTCCACCCCTTGGTCCAGCAGACAGTTATAAGGGTCTAAAACACTGTTTTAAGGTTTAAGTTAATTTGTAAAGCCTATTGGTCCACAAGCAACCATTGTCATGTTGACAAGTCTGGATACCTCTTATGGTATTCTTCATTAATTATATAAAACCACCACCAAAAATGAACTTAGTAACACAGGTGGTAATACAACCTCATTGATGATTATAGAGGTCTTATGTTCTCTTTAAGGATCTAAGTAGATTCCTAAGACCCATTGGTCAACAATTCCCAATGATTTGTTTAACAAGTCAATAGTCCTTTAATGGTGGACATCTTAAATTAATTAAGCACTACCAAACACAAATTAAGCACCACAAGACCCTTTGGTCTACATGTATGCACAAAATGTTACTGACAGGTCCTTATCCTCAAAGCTGTGTAAATGCAAACAAATGTTATGAGGAGATTTAAAAGCCAGAAAATTATAATTCTTATGATAATTCTCCATTGCTCTACCTGTCTTCAAGGCGAGAACCCTCTAAAGGAGCACATGAAGTAGTAAGATATAAGCACCACAAAAACATGAAGTAACTTTGTAAAAAAGAAGAAAAAACAAATATGATATTCAGCAACAAACAGCAACCACTTAATAACAGGCTCCTGACTCGGGACAGTCACATAAAGAATATTTATCAGATGGATACATAGAACCAAAAAAAAAAAAAAAAAACCATAAATAACATGACATGTTCATTATGATGTGACATTTAAAATCATATGCTAAATTATTGATTCTTAATTGTACATCAATTTTATGAGTTTGTGTGCCTATATATCTAAATCTTGTTTTTCTTTCCACAGACTTATCCAAATTGACATCAAAAGTGTTCAGATATCAGATGTATCACAGCTAAAGAATGAAAGTATTTGTGGTCCTTTCACAGCTTTTGCCTACAGTCAGCTTTTAATGGTATGATAATATGCACGTCTTAAGTATTTTATAGTATATACAAATGTAAATTAAATCAATGTATACACACCTTTTATCAATTAATAATTTGTTCATTCATTTACACATAGTTTGATAAATTACATTAAACATAATCTAAATAAATTATCACATATTAAAGTAAACAATAAGTTTATATCCAATTGGGCAAATATAAGTTTCAAGTAGACAATTATTCTATAATATTACAAAAGTGGCAAATGACCTGTAGTTGTTAATTTCTGTATCATTTGGTCTCTTGTAAAGAGTTGTCTCATAGGCAATCATACCACATCTTTTTTTTAATAAATACATGAACAATTTGTTAAGGGGCTGATTTTAGCTGATTCAGACAATTTATTTCATTCTATCTTGATTGATTCTGTAGCACTTAACAAATGTCACAAGCACAGACGTAATTGAATTTCATATTATTAATTTAATACATGTACGCTTTATTATTTCAGTGAATTAAAGAATCAAGAGATATCAAGCTGACCAACTGCCAAGAAAGGGAAGGCAACTCCATCTGAAGGAAATTAAAAGAAAAGATTTTACAATTACAACAATAGATGTGAAAATGTTATTTTTTCAATCTAATAATACACATAACAAAAAATACACTTAAGAAATACTGTTCAAGATTGTTTCTTAAAATGTCAGTCTTACATTTCAGTAGGAGTTTAAAGTTTGCAAATACTTTTTTTATATACTTGAAGATGTATTGTAAATGTAAATTTGTCAGATTTAAAGTTTTCAAGGCTTTAATTATCTCCCCTTATTAATCTCCAAAAAACTACTTATGCAAGCCTCTTTATTTTCCAACTCCTAGAATTCAAAATTTTTAAAAGGTCAAAACGTGTGTCAAATTTTTTTTCTTTGTTTACTGTTTTATGATTGGAGTTCAACCTTTTATCTCAAGAACAAAATAAAAGAAACCTACTGTGCACAGATGTTTTAATTAACTGTAAAAGTCTTCCTCTCTTTTTATTATGAATTGTGAAGATAATTTTTGAAGACAGACAATTTAACACTGTATTAGAGAAATGTAGTTTATAGAAATTCAAGATACATTTTGTAAAACCAAACAATATGACTCTTTTACTTAAATTAGTTCTTATACAAAATCACATGACTAAGGGAGATAACTCTACTTCTAAATTATTTATCTGAAATAGTAAATTAAAGTGGCTCATTTTAGTATTATCACTGACTGATAGATTTGCCACTTAATAGAGATTAACGTTCATAACAATTGATGATAACTTATATCTGCTGATGCAAAATTGTCCCTTGCTGAAAAGTATTACTTTTATATTAAATATATGTTGCTTTCAGGAGTTATGTCCCTTTAATATTTTTTTTATCAGAATATGTTTGTTATATATGTAAACAAGGTGGGATTTTATACTAATTACAATATCTTTATTTGTATTCAAGGTTGTTTAACAGTCCCATAGTTGTAGTATTTTTATACGACCGCAATAATTTTTTGGGATCGTATAATGGTATGATGTCGTCGTCTGCGTCGTCGTCCGAAGACACATTGGTTTCCGGACAATAACTTTAGTTTAAGTGAATGGATCTCTATGAAAGTTTTTAAGAAGGTTCAATACCACAAAAGGAAGGTTGGGATTGATTTTGGGGATGATGGTCCCAACCATTTAGGAATAAGGGGCCCAAAACAAGCATTTTTCTAGTTTCAGGATAATAACTTGTGTATAAGTATTTCGATTGCTCTGAAATTGTACCACAATGTTTAATATCACAAGTAGAAGGTTGGGATTCAATATAGGGGTTATGGGGCCAACAGTTCAGGAATAAAGGGCCAAAAAGGGGCCAAAAAACAGGCATTTTTCTAGTTTCCAGACAATAACTTGTGTGTAAGTGTATGGATCTCTCTGACATTGTTCCACAAGGTTCCATATAACAAAGGGAAGGCTGGGATTGAGTTTGGGGTTAATTGCCCTAAACATGTAGGAATTAGGGACCAAAAAAGGGCCAAAAAGAAGCATTTTTCTAGTTTCCAGACAATAACTTGTGTTTAAGTGTATGGATCTCTCTGAAATTGTACTACAAGGTTCCATACTACAAAGGAAAGGCTGGGATTGAGTTTTGGGGTTATTGCTCCAAGGGGGTTTCAATAAGTTGAAAGGGGGGGGATTTTTTGTTTACAATTTTTTTAAGGGATTCATATTTTTTTTCAAAATTTTTCAAATTTCGAATTTTTGAAAAGTTTCAAGAAGAAATTTTCAATTGCACAGTATTGTGCAATAGATTTGTAAGATCTTTGACCACATTTATTTTGTGTCAGAAACCTATATTATGTCAAAAATTTGATCACAATCCAAATTCAGACAGTATCAAGCTTGAATATTGTGTCCAAATTTGCCCCAACTGTTCAGGGTTTGACCTCTGCGGTCGTTTCAAGCTGCGCTCAGCGAAGCATTTTATTGAATTTAGAGATGATCTGTATTATGTATTAAAATTAATTGTTCCTTTTCCTCTATTACATAGTAATGGCTTTTTTTTTTTTATATCAACCTTAATTGTGAAACTATTCAGAATTGATGACTTCTGAAATTCTGCAGTTTAGATCTGTGGTAATTAATAAGTTTTGTAAATTTGAAACATTATTTAAGTTGACATGTAACATTTTCAAACATATACAAATCAACACTTCTTTTTTTTAATTTAAAAGACAATAAATTGAAAAACTTATTACATTTTAAATTAATGTATATCCTACCTACTGATACTTCTAAGAATTATGTATGCAAATAAAAATGTTCATAGCTATAAATTTATAGAAAGTCAAACTTTAAAAGAAACAGTGGGGTTTCTGTGCATAATTTATGTTTAATTTGAAATTGTACTGTTATTTGATTGTACATTGTGCTGAATGTTGAATGAAGTTTATCTGTATGGATGAAACTTATGTTTTTAATATTCATTGATTAATAAACTTAATAAGAATATAATGCAATACCTGTCTTTGTATTTTTCTGAATCAATTCAAACTACCACAATTTATAACATAAAAAAAAACCATTTGTCTTCTGTTTTAAGTTTCTCTATGTCCATTTTAAAATTATTACTCCTGTTAAACTAAGCATGAACATTTTCTTGATTACTGTTCCAATCAATAGATTATAAATCATATGTCACAGAATGCGATACATAGGGATACTGATCTCAATTTTTTTATTTCAGAAGGTAGAAGAGTTTGATAAATTATATTTAGATGTCTGGCTTGTGTCTGGTGTCATTGATCTAAGTGTTTTTGTCACCTGATTTTGTCAGTTATCATGAGTAAAAGGACAATTATATTTGGTATTAACTCTGCACAAGAGGTATACATTTCTGTAAGAAGGGGTTCATCTGATGTTACTTCTTTTTAATTATTAATTAGTCAAATACTATAAGCAATAGTAAATATGTGTTGAGTATGAAATGATGATAAGATCTATGTGTCCGTTTGGCAGGATTCATCTGACTTTTATATTGAATTTCATGATAATAATGAATTTCTTTATTAAAGTGTCACATACTAATTGTCATAAAACCATTACAGTATTTGTAATATTTACACATACAACAATCAATATACATCCATGAGACATTATCAGTATAAAACTTTTTTACAACTAAACAATTCTTATTAAAAGTGTTCCTTATATCTGTAAACTTGTCAAACAAAAAACAAAACAAAAATGAAACTTGTACACAATGCTTATTACCACAAAACACAGATCAAGTTTGAATTTTGGTGGTGTCACTTTAATATAAAATTTAATCCTGGTATCTATGATGAGTTTATTTAACTATTCTAGAGTTATGCCCCTTTATAAATGGAAAAATTGCTAAATTTTTCATTTCTGTTTTCTAACTTTAGTTTGCCTTAACCAAATATACTGAAACTTAAACACAATGCTTATTACCACATAACACAGATACATTTTGAATATTGGTGGCAACACTGTTCTAGTGTTATGGCCTTTACAAGATGAAAAAATGCTGAATTTTTCGTTTCTGTGACTGTCCTGTTAAGTTTGCTTCAACCAAATGTTACGAAACTTATACAAAATGCTTATTACCACAAAACTCAAATTAGGAACAAACTTGGGTAGGGTCACATTTACTGTTCTTGATATATGTTCTTTATAACATTTTATTCAAGCGGGGGGATTATCTGTGTCCCATGGACACATTCCCCATTTATTTTTACATTGTAGCTATTATCTTGAAAACTATAATAGATAGATAGAAACTTTGATTAATAAAAATGATCAACAATGCAACATCTACAATTAAGACAAAATGGAAGAAATCAACCAACGACTGCTTGTTGAGTATTTGCCCTTAAACGACGATTTTTACCTTCTTTTTTGTTTGTATATATTTTTGCCTTCAAACGATAAGAATTGTAATAAATAGACACTTAAAATCTAAAAAATGATCAACAAGGCAAGATCTACTAACAAATCAAATTTTGCGTATATAGTTAATAGACTGTCGCCCTTCTAAGGAGTGATTGCCTTTAAATGAGGATTTTTTTTTACCCTCTTTTGTGTCTTGAGCAAAACAAAAGAAGATAGAAAGAAACTAAACCGACTAAATGATCAGCAATACAAGATTAACAAAACAGAGGTATTTAAATGAGAATTCTATTCCCATTTATAATGTTTGAGAGTGTCCTTTGTTGAATAAGATCAAAAACCAAGGTGAGCGACACAGGCTCTTTAGAGCCTCTAGTTCTGTAACACTTGTACAAGTGTTCAGTCCAGCTTTGTTTCATTAACGTAGCTGTAAATATCTTGTAGGAAGGAATTCATCATTCTTTCTAAATAAATCTGATTTAAACAGAAAGGTCACTGAAACTGACATCATTAGAATAATAAATTGAAAATATACTTTTTAAGTTTGGAGGACATGTTTTTCAACAGACAATTAGCATTCTTTTGGGAGCCAACTGTGATCCTCTTTTAGTCCATCGTTTCTTAATTGAAATAAGACCTTCATAATATTGGAGCTTCTCAAGAAGAAATTTTAAAAGCTAGACTTTTACTTCCCTTTTCCCAATGAAGAGGATGTTCTATTAAATAAATACGTTTGGTGACTATGTTGATACCATTCATCCCTTCCCAACTTGAAATAAAGCATACCATCAGTACAGCCAAGTCAACATCATATATTGACTTTCATCTAGCAATTAACAATTAGGGTGGTTCTGCACTAAACATGAAGACAAAGAAGATAATTTCAGCTTTCCTATTGTGAACTTTCCATTTCTATGTAACAACGTCTTTGCAGCACCATCAAATGGACTTATTCCAGTTGATATACGATATTTCATAGTTTGCATACACTAACATGATTACTTTGCAAGAGGCTGTTGCTTACAAGGAAGATTTTGGAATCAGAGATTTCAATTGGTAAAGTTAGCCCTTAAAAAAGGTTTACGGAAGCTGATATGATTTGGTTGACCGTTTTAGAATATCTGTGTCACAGATGACCACGGGTATGTTCCAAATTGTCAAAGCTATATTCCTGTTCTCTTTTCCTTGACTGTGAAATCGACTTATCACCAGATTTGTAATTGCCATGAGCTTCACGATGGGTGCCTCTTGTGGACCAATATAATATGTTTACCTTTCAAGAGCTCCTGATATAACCACCGGTATCTGGTGGGTCTTTTGTTGCTTAGACATATGTTTCTATGTGGTGTTTTGTAAAGTATTGCTTAATAGGTAGTCTTTTCGTTATATTCGTTGGATGCCAAACTTTTTCCCGTTTTCAACGGATGAATGGAATGTTTTGCAACTAACATTAAGATGAACTATGTTTTTTTTTATTGTTTAAGATTCAATAACTCTAACCTGTATGGCATTTTGTTCATTGACTTGGACAGATTCTTCTTCAAGATTTCGAAGGTTTCTTAAAACGCATTTGGTATTTACTGCTAAAAGGGCTTTTGATGTTTGCATTTAAATAAAGTGTAAAGATTAAGTTTTTAAACATCAATAACTTATTTCAAACCTTAATGGAATTTCAGAAAACTTTTGCATAAGCTTTTCCAAAATCAAGACATATATGGGAGTAATAAAGTCTAAATCTGAGCGCCATAGATGGAAATTCCAGCATTGAAGATATAAAAGCCAGCGATATAAAAATCAAGCGATGCTGGTACATTCGTGATAAATCAGAAAAATGTGTGACTGAAAATGTATAGTTTAGCGCTGTAGACATAAAGTTATGCGTTGTAGATATAAAGATCAACACATGGGATGTAAAGTCCAGCGCTCAATATGCCAAGTCCAGCGGCAGAGGCTACATCTTCAGATCTTTCGCACTAGACCTTATATTTTCTGCGGTAGACTTGACATTTTCAGCGTTTTAGTTTACGGCTTTAGCTCTGGACTTTGTATCTTCAGCGCTAGACTAAAAATGAATGTTGTTCATCTGTAAGAGACCAATAGGGCCGCAACTCTATACCATTCACATATATATAGCATTTGAGCCTAATGCTAAGGACACCGGTTTGTCTCAAAGAGAATAGAAAGTTCTAATGTATAATATCTTGCGCATTTAGCACTGTAGATGTGAATGTTAGCGACAGAGAAAAAAAATTGTAATAGAGCAGATATTAAGTCAAGCACATGATATGTTAAATCTTACACTCGAGGGAGACAACATATAATAATAGAAATGTAATATAAAAGGAAAATATGTCTTGCACTGAATACCCAATCACTGTCAGAGGTTAAGTATTTGTTTGTATCATAAGGTTTTATTCTTTACATCTCAAGCCCAAAGACAGTACTTCTTCAAAAGACAACTTTGCAGTTGCATTGCAAGATTTAGATGAATTTGGCTAACCGTTTATATTAATTCCTTCTGGTTTTACTTAACAGCTGAATTGCAACAAGACTATTCCTATAGAATAGATGTACGACTTCTATTTTCAAGCGCACGACTTTACATCTTCATCTTAAGACTTGACATATATTGCGCTAGACTTTGCTACTACAGTACCTTACACATCCAGTAAAAAGTAAAATAACAAAAATACTGAACTCCGAGGAAAATTCAAAACGGAAAGTCCCTTATCAAATGATAAACACATCAAACGAATGGACAACAACTGTCATATTCCTGACTAATAAAGGACTTATGCAGTGGGACCAGCGCCAAGAAGACTATGACTATTTATATAAATTTGCACGGAGTCATGTCAGCCTCATTTAAATGATGAGTTATGATTAAGCGCTTGAGAAGTAAAGTTGTACGATGCAGATTTATACTCTACTAATTAAGTATTAAAGTAATCAGATGTTAATTTTATCCGGCGCTGCAGATGTAAAGTCTAGCGTACAAGAACCTCAGCGCTGGACTTTTATTTTATTTATACAGTACTTAATCAGTTCAGACATCTCCAAGGTTTTTCGACAGATGTTCAGCATCCCTCTGCAGTTCTATGATCATATATACAACTCTGTATTTTATATGTTCATGTGCATCTACATTGCCATACTTTGCATCAGTCAGTGTCAATCATTAGAGGTTATACATGTATCTACAGTGCTAATCTTTGCACACCCAGTGCAAGAATTTTTCATAAGCACCAGAGTTTACATTTCAACACTGCATTTTGTATTTCAGCGCTGGTAGTGAGAAAACATGCACTGCAAAACACTTTCAGCGCTAATCCATGCATTTTTAGCGCTATACTTGAAATCTTAAATCTTAACTCTCAATGTCTTAAATATACAGGGTTACTTTTATTTCTGTGCGAGTAACAATTATCTATAGTGAGCAATACTTGTGTGAATATATCACAAAAGACCATCGTATTAGATAATACTCCGATGAATTGATTTTGACTCTGGACCTTGCTTATTAGGCATAATGGATGATAGCTGCAGCCCGTGGTGCTAAATACAAAAAAAAAAAAGATGTGGTATGATTGCCAATGAGACCACCCTC